ATTGGTGTCTTGGGAAATCTCTTAGTGTGCTTCATCATTCTACGTGTCAAATTCCTACACAACAGGAAAAACTACATGTATCTGCTGGTGAATTTGGCTGTGGCTTATATGCTGCTGTGTCTAGAATGTATTTTCTTTAGTCTAATTGATGACGAATACCGTAAAATAATTGACTGACGGTATGTGCCAAACACATTGGTGGAAAGGTTGTTTTCTGCTGATTCCTGCAATCTTACTTTTTAGAATGGGCTTTGTCGTATGCATCTGCTTACAACTCTGTGTTCTAACAATCAAGAGATACAGTAAACTTCGGCCTAATCGGCACTCTCGGGACCCAGAAATTTATGTGAATGCTGACATCGGCTGTAAGTCGTCGTTTTGCCGACTTACATGAATGGTCATTTTGCACATATGTTTCATTGCACTAATTGGCTTCAATTTACACTGGTTTATCTCCTTAATGTTTGAGTTGATTCCAGCGAATTACTCCTCACATTTTATCATCACGTTTGGGGTATTGATAGTCGAGACCACGTGTACAAAATAGTGATACATGTACATATACGTGTACAGTTACAAATTAAATGCGTGCGTTGTATTGACTACATCATTCAGTAAGACGACTCCGAAAATGGACAGAGCGCATGCGTACAGGACTAAAGCGGGTACTGGTATTGATATGCTCACGATGCATAGTGGGAAACCCCTTGGCTTGGCCTTGCAGCAACACCGATGCATGCAGCGATCACGTGGGCCATGCCAGCCAAACCACTTTTCACTTGGCACTTCTTGCCTACCGCAGTGCAGGAAGTCGATGCCAATGCGGGTTTTTTTAAACGCCGACTTACACAAAGGATTTTGTTACGCTTTTTATGGAAAGGGGACCGAGACTAACACGACGACTTGAGCGAAATGGCGACTTGTAAAAGCTGACTTAGAAAATAAAAATTTAATGGAAATGCATTACAGACAATAGGAACTTTAGTCAGACGGCTGACTTGAGCAATTTGACGAGTTGAACGATGTCCACTTGGCCGGAGTTTACTGTATGTCACAATAGTGCATCCACTACAGTATGCAAGGAAACTCACAGCAACACAGATGAAAACTCTGATTACTCTCATCTGGGTGACATCCCTTTCGTTACCATGTTTATTTCTAATCAAACCCAGCAATGATCCAGACCTGGCTTGCTCAGGAATTGAAGATTGGTTTCTGGAAATTCGTTTTTTTAAGAATTTTTCTTTTCAAAGTGACACTAAATAATGTGTCTGAACCCATTTATGAGTAAGAGCACTTTACAAATGACTTGATTGTATTGTGTTGTGTTGTATTGTATAGATTACTTGTATACATGTATGTACCATAAATGTTTAATACACGGTGAAGCTACCACATCATCATTAATTCATTTGAAGATATTTGAATATTTCAGCACAAAAGATACAACGTATGTCTTAATTTTTCGGACTTGTGGGACAAAAAAGTAAGCAAAAGAAGAAATTTCAAGAAAACAGTAGAAAAAGTAGGAGCAAGGTAAAAAAAAAGTAGGAAAAAGTAGGAAGTGTAGGAATACTAGAAAGCTTGAAAGCTCTTCTTCTGTTTAAGAACATAGATATCTAGTTTCTTAATCTTGTTTTTTGATACCAACTCACATAGAAATTCTAAGTATGGTTTTTTAGACCAGACTTTTGTCGGCCTTCATGTCACATCCTAATCATTTTGGTAAATACATACGTCATAGTAAAGTCATGTTGTGATGAATGATGTGATTATGACATCTGTATGGGTGAGTAATGCAATTAAGGTCCATCTTTCCAAGTCCAATGTCTTGAGAATTACACATCTTATATGGTTGAAGTTGGTGCATGGAGATACTAAATACCGGTATATTGCAAAAGCTAAATTTGAAGTGAAGTCATAATGATGACATTGTGCAATTAATTTCTTGAATTTTAAATATTAAATTGTTTCTAGGTATCTAATGAACAAAAAAGCTCAATTCAAAACTCTTTTTCTTTACAACATATAGAAACATGTGAGGTCATGACGTTAAGAATGCAATGTTTGTTTAAAACTCACAGCAAAATCAGACAATATTGAAACTTGGTGGGAATAAAGAGTTTGTGTTTTACATGTGAATGTTAGAATTAAATGGAATTGATAGAATTTGAAAATGGAATTTCTTTCACACCACTTGATAGTTGAACTTTAATTTCAAGCATACATTATCTGAGAATATGCCACTTTATTACTTTGTCATACTGTTACTTTTAAACATGTCTAGTAATAACGCTGCATTTAGCACATGTACCAGCACTTATAGTTTATGCTACTGACTAATTTGGTAAATTATCACTTCATCAAATCTGATGAAGTAGTTGTTGCCTTGAAAGATATTGTTAACTTATAGATGGGCTCTGTGCGCCAACAACAGAGGGCGCGTTTCAACACTTTTGAGAGCCACTTGGACGGGACACCATGTGTACGTACTGTAATGTAATGGTTCGCACGCGAAGTACACACAACTTTAATATCCTGAATGTGCTCAAAGCTAAGCCATAGCGTCTTTGCGCGTGAGCGTCAAGCCGTCATCGGCGCGCGAATACGTTATTAAAGTAACAATGTCTCCCAGACTAATCACTGCCCCCAATAACTTTGGATCATTTGAAATACGCAGTGGATGGACCGGGAACCAGTCGAGATCTTCCCCAACTCTCTTTTCCTGGCCGTTGAAGGGGTACTTGTGTACAGAGCCCATAGTCTTCAAAACGTTGTGTAACTTTTCCATGTGTATTAGTGGGACTAACACAGCTGCCCTAAACTTAGTTCAATAATAAAGTGTCATGCATCAATATGAAACACTTTGTATTATGATACGTCATCATTCTGTTACCAGATATTTTTTTTACAGTTTTAAATTCATTCAGGTAACAGGGATCTCATTTTAACTTTGAAAATGTTGTTGCATTCAGCAGGGTATCTTAAGAAAAAACACATGGCGGTTACAGGGTTAAGGCTTTAAACATCAAATATAGTTTATATATCATTATTTATCAAATTTGAATCATGCTGCTTCACTATAAAACCAGTTTTCATGTGGGTGGGTGTGTACATTTATCCAGTGATCACTTGTCCTCTTTTCAGCATTCATGTGTGTTTGATGGCGTTCATCAATCAGTTGATTAAGGAAGTCATGACTCAGGAAACGGGTTCAGTGGAAAAGCAAACAACTTCAATATATGAACGGGTATGTTTGGCCCATGAATTATATCTAGTGCTATCCATCATGTCAATAATCTCAAAGTGCTGTGCAGTAATTCCCCTGTTCACCAGGCTATAAAACCTTGCGGCAGTCGAGAATCTGAGCGCACATTCGTTCCTCTACCATCAAAGGTACCCATTCATATTCCTGGGTGGAGAGAGGCAATTATAGTTAAGTGTCTTGCCCAAGGGCACAAACACCATGTTCCTGGCAGGATTTGAACCCACATACCATTGTACATGAGTCAAACACCATAACCACTGGACCATGGCATTCTTCTGCACAGTGAATAAAAGCACTGGACCATGGCAACTGTTGCCAACTTTGTTACACTAATTGAATGTGTTTCAAACTTTCTTTTTCGACTGACAGATAAGTAAATCTTGCTCGATTCCCTGACATAACACAGAAACGAATGGAATTTTATCTAAATCAACAAAGTTTTTAAACAGGCTAACAGGCGCATCATATGATAGATAGGAAGCTCCGCAATATTGGAGGCAATCTATCAACGGACTCTCGTACATCACTGACAGCATTGCTCAAAAGTTAATTAACATCTACCGGTAATGGCCTTAATGGACTGTGGGGTAAATGTCATTACAACATGCTGTATGGATTTCAAAACCGATCGAGGCAAGACGTATGATGCTCACATTCACATTTATATTGGAGGCTAGAGTCAGCGTATTAGGAAAGGTATGAATTGCTAGAACTCACTCATTTCTTCAGTCAGCAAAAACAAGAGTTGCTTAATTTGTATGGACAATGCGCTGAGCGTGTTAGCACCACAGTCTTCAGTTGGGAATCCACATGCTGGCTACATCTTGGGACTGACAAAGTGCTTATCCCGGAGTGTTTTCTGCAGACAGTTCCGTTTGAATTTGTTTGCTGTGGACTTCGACTGAGCACAGTGGTTGAAGACATTGATACAATTGAGTGCAGCTACAACAGTGCTACATGTAAGTCGTGAAGCGTGCTTCATATTATACAGGAAGTGAAATATATCCAACATGTAAAGCGACAGAAGAAGGCTGTGCCGACGACCATCAAAGTGGAAATGTCCTTGGTGATAGACCACGAAAAGCACTGACAACATTGTGCTTGGATGTTTCTGCTTCTGTTTCTGCTTCTACTCGTATACTGTACATTGTGTACACAACGCCCTGTTGGACTATCTCGGTACACTGTGGTTAAATGAGGCATGCGAGCTTAGATTCTGAAGTAGGCGCGGCTAACTAGATTCCTAACATTGATGTCGTCCAAGGCTGACTTGAAGACATTCAGGTCTGGTGTGGAGCGGATATCTTCAGGGATAAGATTCCACTCTGGGATAGATCTTGTCGCTCTGGAACACAGATAGATTTTTATGCCACAAACCTCCATCATTTGTGTACATTGTATGTTCATCAAGTGCCAATTTAGGGCCAGGTTTTTCTATATCTGACATCCGCAACTGGACAGGTCTGTCCCTTGGGTCTGTAACCCGAAGGGCAGAGGAGAGAACGTCTTGGAGGAATCTGGTGCGGCTGGCTGCCAGAGGCGGGGAAGGCTAATCTTAGTTAGCGGATGCCCACAGAAATAATGACAGAAGAGATATACATGTACTGTATTTTGATCCAAAGAATTTGTCAATTTTTTGGTCAGCTGTAATCTATGAACATTGCATCAACAGTATTTTACAATCTTGCATTTTATACCGAACACATATTTTTTTTTAGCAACATCGTCCAAAAAGATGTCGACCCAGCAAGTCCTTGACAATAAGGAGCCTACTATAGGCAAGTGGGTCTGCCAGTTATTAGTTGCAGAAGGAGTCATTGGTGTCTTAGGAAACCTCTTAGTGTGCTTTGTCATTCTACGCGTCAGATTCCTACACAACATGACAAACTATCTGCTGGTGAATTTGGCAGTAGCCGATATGCTGCTGTGTCTAGAACGTATTTTCAGTGGTCTAATATATTACAAAGACTGTAAAATCATTGACTATGTACCCAAAACCTTTGGTGGAAAGGTTGCTTTCTGTCGATTCATGCCATCTAACTTTTTGTCTTGGGCTTTGGCGTATGCATCAGCTTACAATCTCTGTGTGATAACATTTGAGAGATATGTTGCTATAGTGCATCCACTACAGTATGCAAGGAAACTCACAGCAACACGGATGAAAATTCTGATTGCTCTGATCTGGATGATATCATTTCTGTTTTCTTTACCGTTTTTATTTACGATCGAAGCCAGCAACAATCCTGACCAGGCTTGCTCAGAATTCAAATACCCTCATCCACTATTTCCCTTTCTTGTTGGTATATTTACATTTCTCACGGCCTACCTACTGCCAATAACATTGATGAGTTGGGCCTACTACAAGATACAAGTCACTCTCAAAAGACAAGCAAAAGCCCTAAACCTGCAACATGCAAGGGCAGCAGCCTATGATCTTGTGATTGCTAGACAGCGTCTGGTCAGCATGCTCACAATCGTCTTAGGAGCTCTCATCATCCTATGGACATCAGACTACATCGGTTTGTTTCTCTGCTTGATCACAGATCGCAAGGGTCTACTTACTTTGTGCAATTCAGTGAGTTACAAATACTTCAGTGCAATTTGTTCTTTTGCCTACTATTTCAACTCGGTCATTAATCCCATCATCTATGAGTTTAAGTACAAGAAATTCAGGCAAGGTCTTAAGATAGCTTTATGCAGCTGTTATCATCAGCACAATGATAACAGAGTTGACATTGAAATGGTGCCATTATGAGAGTACCGGTATACCAAAGACTGATTTCCTGAAACTTCTCATTAAGAACAATTTTTTGGTCAAAGTATCGCCAAGAAATGTGTCTAAAGAATCTAACCAGTGTGATTTCACGAAATTTCACGAAACAGTGCATAAGTTGCATAGAACTTGCGCTGCAAATTAATTGTGCAGCTGAGCAATAAACTTACGACCGATTTCACAAAACGTTGCCTACACGTAGCTGCTCAATGTTTTAAATCATCTAATAATTTTGGACGAGGATAATAACAGCATTTACGACGGCTGTTTGGTTCTGATTTTGTTTAATCATGAGTAAAAAAGCAATTAATTTACTTCAGACACACAGCCTTGAGTGCCTTGTAAAAGTTGTATCAACAAGCTTCACGACGATCACTATTTACTGGTAAAATAGGTCATTTTCAGTAACTATGCCACAACTTACGCCACCTATAATGATGGCACAAGTTACGCCATAATTTGTTGCTCAAGTTGCAGACTTACATGTAGTTGACTTACGCCACTGCGTAAAGTCTCATGACAAAGGCTGCTGATCACACAAAAATGAGTCAGATCTCAGAATACATGCATTACATGAAACAACTCAAATCTTTTTATAAGTCCAACATCTATGAACTGATAATGAAATGGGAGCCAACAGCTGGTACGATGCATGTATAGATTATACATACATGTACCATCAATGGTTAATACACGGTGAAGTTACCACATCGTCATTACATGTAATTCAGTTGAAGATGTTTTAATATTTGAATATAAAACAATCTTTGTGTGACATCTACAGTCATGACAGTGACTTGCAAGTTGTATTCATAATGTACATTGTAGCCATACTAGAAACGTGTGCAAAGTGATTAAAAAGTATATGACCTACCGGTACGTGTAGTAGTAAAAAGTGTGATGTCATCAAGATGTTATAACATCATTTTGTGGAGTTAATAGTGATGTTGTTCAATTTTAGTGAGGAATAAAAAGTATCAACATTATGATTTTGAAGTTAATTATCACAAGACCGGCAAAGCCCGTCTTCTGTTCTTATATCCAGTTTCTTAATTGTTTTTTTTATCTCAATTCACATATAAAATGTACACAGGTTTTATAGACAAGACTTTGATCAACTTTAAAGTCATACGTCATAGTAAAATAATGTGATCAATGATGAGGTTATGACATCTTTATGGATGAAATATGCAATTAAAGGTACATCTTTCAAAGTCCAATGTCTTGAGAATTACACATCTGATTTGGTTGAAGTTTAGTGCATGGAGATACTAAATACATTGCAGCCTTTTCATTGTTTTTCCAAATGTTAATGAAGAAACTCTCGGTACACACCATGCAGTAGCAGTAATAAGAGGTCGTATGAGTTATATAAATCCTCATTAGCAAACGTTTGGAACTGTATTATTTCATTACTTGAAAGGGGCAATTGATGGTGATGGAGAGGTATTCCTATAAAACGTTTGCTGAGGGGCAGATTACAAATTTCTTCTGATGGTGTTAGGAATGAGTAGTGCAGCATCAAACCATACATGCATATACTGAAGCAACCAACTTGAAAACACATCCATGTTTGAAAGCACAATTTTAAAAATTCTTTATTGGCAACTGTTGCCAACTTTGTTACATGAATTCATTTTGCTTCTAACTCTCTTTTTCGACCGAGAGATAAGTAAATCTTGCATGATTCCCGTACATCATACAGACACGAATGGAATTTTATCTAAATAGAACACATTTTTGAACAGGCCAACAGACGCACCATTTGATAGATAGGAAGCACCGTATATGTCAGCCCCGCAATATTGGAGTTAATCTATCAACAGCTTGTTAAACATTACTGACAGCATTGTTAACAAGTTAATTAATTTTTAACTACCTTTTAGGAAAGTGGGGTAAATATCAGTTCTGCGTGTTACATGTTGAAACCAATCGAGGCAAGATGTATTCTTCAGCTGCTCACATTGACATTTAAATCAGAGGCCAGAGTCAGCAAACTAGAAGAGGTATCAATTACTAGAACTAGCAGGTGATGTTAGTCAGTTAAAACAGAGTTTGTATCAATGTACTGAGCGTGTCTTTTGCAGTACTGACGACAATTTGCAGTTTGGTGTTTATACATGTATGCTGGCCACATCTTGAGACTGACAAAGTGTCCATCACTTGAGTTGTTTCCACAGACAATTCCGAATTATTTTATTTGCTGTGCACTTACATGCACACTGTGGGTGACACATTGATAAAAATGAGTGCATAGATCTACAACAGTGCCTGTTGATGGATAAGTCGCAAAGCTTCTTTCAGATCACACTGGAAGTGAAAGACATAATATATGTACAGCAACAGAAGAAGGTTATGCCCATTGGGACACAAAAACAGGTAGTTGACATCACTTCAGATGAGACCATTTTCTGTTTGGAATTTCTAAGTCGAAATCAGGAGTGAATGAAATCTTCTGCAAGACTTCAGTGACAACATTTCAAGGATGAACCATACAAGCAATGAGGAGTCTTCTGGGTGCGTGTGGGTCTGCCAGATCATAATGGTGGAAGGAGTCGTTGGTTTCTTAGGAAACCTCTTAGTGTGTTTGGTTATTTTACGTGTCAAATTCCTACACAACATGACAAACTATCTGCTGGTGAATTTGGCAGTGGCTGACATGCTAGTCTGTGTCCAAGCTTTCTTCTTCTACCTCTCTGCTGATCAAGACTTCCCGCTCATTCGTTTCGTTCCAGCAAGCCTGATTGGTAAGGAATTGTTGTGCCGATTGTTGGCCTCTGCTTTCTTGTATTGGTTTTTTGCCAGCGTGTCGGCATACACCCTTTGTTTGGTGACATTTGAGAGATATGTTAGCATTGTGCATCCTCTACAGTATCCAAGGAAACTCACAGCAACACGGATGACAATTCTGATTGTACTGACGTGGGCGATTTCGCTCCTGTTTTCTGTACCTATACTATTCACAAACAAAGGGAGCCGGGATCCTAACAAGGTTTGTTCAAGTACCGAACGTCCCCATGACGCACGCATTACACACGTGCTATCATTTCTTGTCGGTTACCTACTGCCCATAACATTGATGAGTTTGGCCTACTACAAGATGCAACTCACTCTAAAAAGGCAAGCCAGTGCTCTGAAAATGGAACATGCAAGGGCAGCAGCCTATGATCTTGTGATTGCTAGACAGCGTCTGGTCAGCATGCTTACAATCGTCTTAGGAGCTCTAATAGTTCTGTTGACACCTGGTCATGTCGAGTCCCTCATCTGCTTACATCCGTCACAAACTGACCCCATGTGGTCCATCTGCAATTCTCCAAACTACAGCTACCTCAGAGGTGCCTGCAATATTCTTCTTTATCTCAATTCGGTCGTTAATCCCATCATCTACGAATTCAAATACAAGAAATTTCGGCAAGGTCTGAAGGTAGCTTTTCACAGCTGTTTCGGTCAGCAATGTAAAAACAGTGTAGATATAGTGATGAATCCTACTTCACATAACCGCTAGTGAAGCCCTGATAATCCAAGAGTGAGTCAATACCATTTATATTTTTGATGATAAACGTGTGAGGAAAGACAGTGGAAGAGGATTTCTGTTGAAAGGGTGTAAGGGTTCCTATTGAAAGTCTAAAACGGATTGGGAAAGTAAAAATTGGAGTGATTATGATTATTGTGACCCATTCGTCAAATTGTACCAACCTAGCTATCAGGTCGATACCTTGTCTTGTGCAAGTCGGCTTTTGAATCTGCAGATATAATTGTTAAAATATTTAGGAAAGAATACAAAGTTTTGTCAGACCTGTTCAGAAAACAGGCCTTGAAGAAAACTTTGTAAAATATTCCAATGATTTGTGAGGAATGTACTAAAAAATTCAAACCTAATTAAAGGGAAAATACAACATTTGCAAACATCGAAAAATAAAACTACCAAGTTGTTACGAAATACCTTACTAGGATGTTGGTAAATGAAAAGCATCCTGTAAAATTATGGCACCTGGTGTGAAGCCATTTTCAAGAAAATGGTATTTGTATACATTTCCAACGCTGGTCGGCCGACCACCGTTGGAAAACCTAACTATTTTTCAATTACTGCTCCAAATTTAACATTATTTTTTAGTCTAAATTTTGTTTAGCTAGCTATTGGTTCCATGTTCATGAACGGGTGCAGGCCAGCTAGACTGGTTCCCTTACCTTACAATTTTCCGGTATTTTTGATCCATTTCATCTTTAGTGGAGTCAGATAACCAGACTACTTGAATATTTTTGTTTTTCTTGGTTTTTCCAGCATTTTCGAACACAAAACGTCAAACATGTCAGTGCAACAATATGTGATCTATTATACTAACCCCCCAAATAGTTCATTTCTGAAAATTACAGCAAAAGCCAATATGTACATTCCCTTTAACACGATATTAGAATGAGCTGTGGCCAAGGCACTTCTTTGCATTGTTCATCCCATGTTGCTTGAGCCCTTACTTATGATCTGACTTGTTTACTTTTACTTTACTTTTTCATCTCGAGGCACAGAAAAAGCAATTTATACTTAGACATTATTGTAATACATACCACCTTTTTAGAGAAATAATAATAACATAGGAATAACATAGCCAAGAGATTAAAATAAAGTACTACACAATTTCCCTTTGTTTAAATGAATAACCCAAGAGTAAACTAATCAATCTATAATGGATTGCTTTTTATGAGCTGTGCAAAGGTTTGAATCAAATTAATCCACAGGAGAGAGTAGATAGTCTGTCCACTTTTTCCCCATTAGGGAAACGTTCTCAGGCATGACTTGGGAAAATTTGAGAGTGATTAATATTGGTGTAGGGCACTTTGTGTAAACAGTCGATCCCGATCGCAATCACGGATTCGTGTAGCAAAGGGCTTGGCTTAACATACCGGTACCCTTGCCAGTACTGTCAATGCTGAATTCACGTCCAGACGCATCATGTTCAGCGTGAAGATGTTCACGCGTGAAGATGTTCATGGTTTTTGTTAGGTTTGGAATGAGATTTTGACTGTTGCACTGGATTTCAATGAACTTCTTGAACACAATATAAGAATTTGCCAACAGACCTAAAGCATCCAAACAGTTACTGACAGGATACATTGTACAGCTCTATATGTGAAACAGCATGCTCCTTTTGCTTGTGCCATAGAAGTCAACACAGAAAAAACTGTAGTGACTAACAAGTAGAAGAATACTGTTTACATGTAGACTACAGTGAGCTATGGATAATGTATATCTCAGGAAGAAATTCAAGCCAAAATTTTGATGAAAATGATGAGGGTGATTGTACTGGAGGCAAGTGGGTCTGCCAGATCATGGTAGCAGAAGGAGTCATTGGTGTCTTAGGAAACCTCTTAGTGTGCTTCGTCATTCTGCGCGTCAAATTCCTACACAATATGACAAACTATCTGCTAGTCAATTTGGCCGTGGCCGACATGCTCACATGCCTCACACTATTCTTTTACAATCTGACTGTCAGCCCGACCTGCACGCTTGTCAGATATGTTCCCAACAGTTCCTGGCAGAGGGAGCTGTTGTGCCGGATTCTGGCAAGCAGCTACTTAGGGTGGGCGTTCTCCTACATATCAGCGTACAGCCTCTGCTTAGTCACGTTGGAGAGATACGTCGCCGTGGTCCACCCACTGCAGTATGCAAGGAAACTCACGGTACCGCGGATGATCACCCTAATCTCTCTGACTTGGGTGATATCTTTTGCAGCAACGATTCCGTTCTTACTGATAAACAGTCCCAGTGATGATCCGGACAAGGCCTGCTCGGAGATCAAATACCCAAGCGAATCATTCCCAGTTGTTGTTGGAGTACAGGGGTTTCTGTTTGCCTTCCTTCTGCCGGTAGCTATGATGAGTTGGGCCTACTACAAGATACAAGTCACTCTCAAAAGACAAGCAAAAGCCCTGAACCTGCGACATGCAAGGGCAGCAGCCTATGATCTTGTGATTGCTAGACAGCGTCTGGTCAGCATGCTCACACTTGTCCTAGGAGCTCTTATCATTTTGTGGATGCCAGTCTACATTTCCCTTATATGCTTACATCCGACAAACACCAGTACATTTTTGTTCTGCGGTTCAAGCTCCTACGTCTCTGCCAGAGGGATCCTGAATTTTCTCTTTTACTTAAATTCAGTGATAAATCCCTTTATCTACGAGTTTAAGTACAAGAAATTTCAGCAAGGTTTGAAGGTAGCTTTTTGTGGCTGTTTCAGTGGGAAAGGTGGAAACAGGGTTGCCACGGAGATGGCACCATTGTGAGAAAGAAACAGAATTGTCTAATAATATGAAAAAAAAATCGCTTTTTAAATGGGTTGGGTGGAAACTTGCATAATAACAGCCCTATAATCAAAATGTTTTGACAAAAAAGTAATGAAGATTTGAATTTGGGCATTTGATTTGGGGGGGGGGGGCAGCCCACAAAATTTGACCAAATCCAATAGTTTCTAGTCGCACCTCAAAAGCTACAACACCAAACTTGCTGATACATGTACTTGGCATTAGCATTTGATATTAGTAATAGACAATCCATTATATGAGCAGGATGTAAAAATTGTGCACCTACAGTGAGTATGGCTGGTGTATGGCGCCCTCGTCCAACTGTGCACGGATAGAATGAGAACACCTTGTAATTTGAATGCAAACTTCCTTCGGCAAATTAATCAGAATGAAAACAAACCAGAATTTTTTTGAATGGGATGCTTTAGACAGTTTTACAGTCAACTGCTCATTGCTCAAATTATTGTTAGGCTATCTGCATGGATGTAAAGTGTTGCATAAGCTCGTAACACATCACTGGAGAGAATTTCCAGCGTTATGGAGGAAAATGCAATGTCTATGACAGAGCCAATTATTAACTATGATATCTAATTAATGGTTTAGAGAAAAGATCCAAAACTCCTAGTCTATACTCTCCTTGACCATTACTAGATGATGGACGTATACAATTTGAAAAATATATGTTCAGGTTTAAAAGCTGAGCTCTTAAATCTCTTTCACAGACATTACATTTTCTTTCATAATGCTGGAAACACCCGGAAACAAAATGGATCAAGGCTCAAATTTGGCCAAAAGTTCAGCAATGCACAGAAAGCATTTTCAATTAAGTTTTACTCAAGAAAAGGTCAGTTGAATATTTCTTACTAAATTTTCCCACAAGCACGATAATAATAATAATAATAATAATTACCGAGAATGGGTCATTTGGGAGACCGAGAATGGGTCATTTGGGAGACATCCCCATAGACTTGTGCACAAAATTTCTCAAACTTAAATGTGCCCTAACCCAATATTCCCGTGTCCTTTTTCCACGAATTTCGGTGTTTTTACTAATTAGACCACGAGCAACAAATATAACCCGATTGGGACAGTAAAATTGTGCCTCTAAAGGGGGGCTGTGGAATTAGGGAGACATGAAAATGTCTCCCTAATGACCAGTGTCTCCCTATTGTCGAAGAAATTACGATAACGTGTCTCCCTAATGGTACATTTGTAGGAATAATACAAATAATAAATAAATAATAACAATTACTAATAATAATAATTCACAATTATTACCCCTGTTCATCAGGCCACGAGACTAGTTTTTGCAGCAGCTCGAGATCAGCGCATTCTGGTCTCTACCTTCACAGGTACCCATTTATACTCCTGGGTGGAGAGAGGCAATTGTAGTAAAGTGTCTTGCCCACTGTAACCATTGGACCACAGCGTTCCACAATGCATGTACACGTTCTTTCAACTTATTAATCAATTGGTAAAGAACCCAACAATATGGACATTTCTAATGTTTAACCTGACAAAGTGATTCATGTGAGACACAACCCAAATAAAGTCTAAATGTTCTACCAGGACGTGCATGCAAATTGTAAAATTAAATTACCACACAACCGGTGGATCACACAGCTTGTGGAAAGAAAAAAGGTAGAGTCTGTGGAGGCAAGGTAGTGTTAAATAAATATCTGTGCGTGGGTTTCTTTGAATTAATCAAGAGAAAGTGATTGAGATTTCCCATGTTCTTGGCAACATAATCAATTTAGATGTAGATATAGAGGAAAGATGTAGTGACTTCGTGACATGATCTGAAGTGGTGCACGCACACAAGAAACTGCGTTTACTTTTGTTTTGTGGCATTAGAAATCGATAGCTGGTCACAGTGGCTGGTTGCTTCAGAGTGTGAAGTACAAGGAAAGCAGTGCTCTGTATTGTCACACAAGGCAGTGGACACATTCATTTGTGAATAACTTACAAATAGTTCAGCAGATGCTTGGACAGTGAGTGAGGATTGTGGTCATTTCATGAACAGGGATTTTTTCCTTTGCTGGAAAACTTTCTACAAGATTGCGTCGACAAAATCAAACCTACAGTCACCACTGCTTACAAATGCAGATATCTTATCATAAAAACTCATAGTTTCTATGGTATGTGTGACTGAATTCAACGACTGAAGACAGTTATGAACACCCTGAAATCAAGTTGCTGTTCAGTTTTCTGGATGAGTCACAGGTATTACGTCAACGGCATAAAGCCCATATTTGCTGAAGTGAACTTCAAGTTTATATATTCTTTCCCACACATGTACTCTGGAATTTCGAAGGCAAGTCCATTTGCCAATCTGCTCTGAGCAACTTATAAACTTTCCTACTTCTGTCTAACAAAATAATTGTAGAAACCCAGACTGCACTGAATTAACCATCATTATGTCGTCAATGAATGAGACTCGACTGAGCACTAATGACAGTGAGCATCCTGGCAATGAGTACAAATGGATCTGCCACATCATTACAACAGAAGGAGTCATTGGTGTTTTGGGAAACCTCTTAGTGTGCTTTGTCATTCTACGCGTCAAATTCCTACACAACATGACAAACTATCTGCTGGTGAATTTGGCTGTGGCCGATATGCTGCTATGTCTTCAGGCATTTTTACTGTACTTCTTTGCGTTTTCAAAGTGCGCAATCGTTCATTACGTTCCGGCAGGCTCTGTGGAACGACAAATTTTCTGCCGACTGTTAGCCTCTGATTTTTTGTCCTGGGCTTTGTCCTACGTGTCAGCATACAGTCTGTGCTTGGTGACATTAGAACGGTATGTTGCTATTGTGCATCCTTTAAAGTATCAAAGGAAAGTCACGGCGTCACGGATTGCACGTCTGGTTGCTCTGATCTGGGTGGTTCCATTTCTTTACTCTTTACCTTTTGTGTTTACAATCAAACCCAGTGATGATCCTGACCAGGCTTGCTCGGAAATCCAATACCCTCATCAGGCATTTCCAATTGTCATTGGTGTACTTTCATTTCTCATGGACTACCTACTACCAATAACACTGATGAGTCTGGCCTACTACAAGATACAAGTCACTCTCAAAAGACAAGCAAAAGCCCTGAACCTGCAACATGCAAGGGCAGCAGCCTATGATCTTGTGATTGCTAGACAGCGTCTGGTCAGCATGCTTACAATCGTCTTAGGAGCTCTTATCATCTTATGGACGCCAGCTTATTTGGCAATTACAATCTGCTTGCAAGCATCCAGAGGGAGAAGTCACATGACCTTCTGCGACTCGGTGACTTTTCAGCACATCAGAGGAGTGTGCAGCTCCCTCTTCTACATAAATTCTATCGTTAATCCCGTCATCTACGAGTTCAAATACAAGAAATTTCGGCAGGGGTTTAAAGTAGCCTTTTGCGGCTGTTTTCAAAAGAAACTCAGCAACAGAGTTGAGAATTTGACACCTTTACAGCCGAGATGACTGACACCCTCAATTCACATCACATCGATAAATAAATTACCTGATAACTCCACAATGAAATTATCACCAAGATATGCATGCACCTGCCACCGTGATTGTTTAACTGCCTAACTCTTTGTCTATGTGTGAAAATGCATTATGTGAAACTGTGAAACTAAAACTGTGGTCAAGCGATCCTCTGTGATGTTGCTAGCATCGTGACTTTGGGCGTGATCCCTGGCTACATGGCATATCGGGGTAAAATGGCGTATGACTAACGCCCCTTGAACAAAGACAAACAAACCTGGGCAACCGCCAACATAGGGCTGGATAGCTCGGTTGGTAGAGCACCGGTACCGTATTCCGGAGGTGGTGGGTTCAAACCCTGCTCAAGTCAACTTCACTGTTCAATTGTTAAATCTTTCTAATGCACCTAGTCTGTTTCCCTTTGTGGTTTATTCGAAGATTGTGGTCATGAGTAGAAGACGGGATTTAATGACTTACCCAGGAAGGCCAGCTGAGAATCGTCCACCATGAACTCACAGCTGTAGACTTGAAGAGGCTTGGAATCCTGCCAAGATATAACAAGATGAAGACACAGAAAGTCAACGTAGACACACAAAAACATGCCAATACAAAATGAACTACATATAATCCAATAGGAGCCGTAACGTTTCCTCTGTAACTCGATGATGCACTTACAGTGCTGAACAACTGTTTTTAATCTGAAACATGTGGTCAACTTTCAAAAAATATATATGTTGTCTAATTGTGATTTCGTGCTTTGGAGACTGAATCAGTAATAAGTCTCTTTGTGCCAATCATGGAACATATTTTAAAAAAATAAGCATTTACTGGCAATTTTTAGCATGTACATTGTATTGTGTATTCACAGTGTGAACAGATATAATTTGGACTTAGTAATACCATTTTGAAGTTTATCATGATTGCACTAGGGATTTTTCAAGTTGCATTGGATCAATTTGAGGGACTAATATCTAAAGTCTGTTACAAAAAAAACAGGTTTCAAGATTTTTTAGTCAATCTTGACCTCAAAATGAAGACTATTCTTGAAAAGGAAAGACATCTTAAGTATTCATTTCTGGAATGCAAAAATATCAACACTTCTTGTCAAGTTCATATTTTGAATGAAGCTTTGAATGGTCTTATAAGTCAATCATGTACAGTGTTTATGGATGTTAAGCACATTTATAAAGTACGTTTTGTTTACTTGTTATAAAATGTCGCAATTTCAGCTTGTTAGCATAGTTAGAAAGATATCCCTGCTTTGTATTTCTGTCGTTAAGAAAAGTCATTCATTACAGTAGAATGTGATTCTTACATTTGTTTTAAATGATCAGCCCTCAACTTCAAGATTCTTCAAAATCACATTGAAGGGTTATGTAGGTTTTTGCAGGATTTTCCAGGATTGAGGAAGGCAGAGCCCAGCTACTACAATTGTGCATGGGGCTTGATCCTCAAAGAGAGTGCAAATAATTTACCACTGGTTTCCAACACAATGAAAGATTTTTGAAAGATACCGCTAGGGGCTGAGTAAAAAATGCCTGAGTAGTTACGGTTAAATTCACAAAGAAAATGTATTATCTGACAGCATGATGTATGTGAGTGTAAATACGCAGTTATATTTTTTGGTAATTGACTGTATATTTGTTTTGTGGCACCAATTATCAATATTAATTGATAACACACGCCACAGCTGCCAGACGAGCTTGCAACGACCTGATTGATTCGTTTGATATCACGTTTTCTTGCCATAAATGACTGTAACGTGCATATAGCTAATGTTTTGAAATCACCATTGCCGCCAGTGCAAACAGTTGTAACAGTTGTGTTATCGGGGTCGGCAAAACATTCAGATTAAAGATGCAATTTGGTCTGGAGTTGGCAAGAATTGAGTGTTTCATATAATTTACTCACCACATTTCAAAGGTCTTTGTCACAGAAAACAACATAATGTCTTACATTCGCACACAAAAATATTGAAAAACAACCCATTTGTTTACATTCAGCTTTTGTTTTTCAGGTCCCATGCTTGTTTCAGATTTGCACACATGGCAATCTAATACACACGTTTGGGATAACCTAATGAAACCCAACATGCATGATTGAAATTACAACTAGCGCTCCAATGGCTCAATTTATGAAGACCAAATATTTTGTCACGTGAAAATGGAAATGTTTAAACAACAGTTGGATCAATGTTCATATATTCTACTTTGTAACAATTTTTCCCAGTGTTATCATATCGTGCTAAACATGTTTCCGAGCCCAAAAGGGCAGATTCTCTAAAAATGCTCCTTTAAGACACAGCAGTAAGTCATTATGATGGCATTCCAGAACACCTGTTACAGCAAATAAGCTCACAGTCAGTATGGGTTTATGTGCTATATAAAATTGCCTGCTAAACATTAATTAAGATATTGACAATAATCAATTCTTTTTTATAACAAATCAACAGAAAGCAAGAGAACACTGTTTGTAATTGTGACTGTGAATCACTTCTTCAACTGTACTTTGGGCACTCTTACTAAAAAGGTTATTTTGCAGATATTTTACAAAATGTGCAGAATAAATTTATTGTAAAGGATGCTTTGTATGACTTTTTATTCTTCTGTATTGATATTTCTTGATTCCTCGTATTTTGTCCCTGTAAACTATTGTACTGCACATTTGCTGTCTTATTTTCCTGTACCTTAAACCTCAAACCTGAATGTGTGGTGAACACCCATGTGACTCTTCAGAGTTTAGGGGAAAATAGGTTTTTTTAAGGGTTATGGTGACCACCACCATGAATACTGCAGTTGTTCTTATATTTATTTTTCTAACTTGGTAACAATGAGTGCACAAAACGTCCACTCATACTTTTCCCTGTAGAACAAATGCACGCATATCAATGATAACTATGACAGCGGTGTGCATTTAGTTTGGGAACCGGGTACCAATTAAAAAACACCATCCAAGCTTTTTGACCAGTGTTAGAGTATTCCAGACTGATCTTGGCAACGAAAAAGTCTCCAGACCCAATTTTTGTGGTTTCACTTTCGATGTCCCGGGACTCCATAAATCAGCATTAACAAGATTTTTTTTTCAGTTTTGACAATTTTGACAGTTTTTTTTTACATGCTCATTTCACTGAACTGGCATTAATTTTTATAACGGTGCTTTAATAAACCGTCTAGCTGTGATATAGAGATGATTCACGGTATGGACTAGACTCCAACCCTGGGTTCTACTCACCCTGCTGACTAGAGCAATGGTCCTATCCGACTCTTGATACTGCAGGAGATAGATACTTTTCGTGACATCAGCAACAAGGATGAAGTTCTTGACACAGACCGCCCTGTGGATGTAGATCTGGGTGTCGATGAAGGCCAAGCCAAGAAGATCATTGTCCTTGAAGGTCCACAGATACACCTATTTAAAAAAAGGCAATCCTATTAAAGTTGGTCCCAAAGCACACAAAAATAAACTGTTTTTAGAATGACTATTCACTGCAAGTCTTTTCATGCATCAGGCATGCAACTGTAAATTCACAAGAAATGAGGACATTCCAAAATTCAGACGACTTCGTAAAGTGATTTTCAATTTTGAATTGCAGAATGGGAATTAAAGAGAGGAAATCAGCTGATCCGAGGAAAAGTTGCATGCTTGATGCATCAGGTCTACACAATGGGCCGGTTTTAGCCCATTTATTGGCGTTATGGGGTAATCCTACATGATAGCACTGCCCGGCCCACAACTGACAGTCGGTCAGTCAAAGAGGACAATAGGCTGACCCTCTGGGACCAGCAAAAATCTAACACTGTACATAAACAAAAATTCAACCAACCCGTAAATTAAAAAAAAACTTTTGTGTTTGATTTATCCATTTGAAAAAAGTACCTCTTTCCCCTTTTTGACAACCCTTTATTCTGCTTCAAAGATTATATAACAGGATAAAGGTTGCTCTCTTCATGCTCCTGAACAAATTCCTTTTTTTTTTCAATTTGTGTATGTGTTATTTTTATGAGAAAATTACTTTTCCCCCTATTTTGGGGCAATTTGAAATAAGATTTATTTTAGGTTGCTCTTGCACCTATAACACACACACACACAAAAATAATAAATGCCTGAATTATTGTTGGGCTGCAAAATATTCAAAATTTGTAAAGCAATTGTTCCATAACTAAACGTGAGACTAGACTAGATCTCACACTCAAAAGAAAATTAACTTTTGTATTGCTAGAAAAAAAAAGCAATCATTGGATGAAAATCAAAAGCAATACAGGAGACAAGCATTAAGGTACATAGATATCATCAAAATCTTGTTGGCAACTGGAAATGACTGAATATGAGTTGGGGTATTATATTAACTTTACTACTGAATTGTCACCAGCTGTAACATTGCCCAAGACCAACAAATTTTGTTTTTAAGTCATTATATCATGAGGTTCACTTTCAAAGATGAAATCTCCAACAGTTTTGTAATTCTTTCTGTAGAAGTCAAAAACAATTGGCCTAATAATGTAATGTCATCAAGTATTCCATGGTCCAGTGGTTATGGTGTTTGACTCATGTACAATGGTGCGTGGGTTCAAACCCTGCCAGGAACATGGTGTTTGTGCCCTTGGGCAAGACATTTAACTACAATTGCCTCTCTCCACCCAGGAGTATGAATGGGTACCTGTGAAGGTAGAGGACCGAATGTGCACTGATATCGACTGCCATGCGGTCTCATGGCCTTATGAACGGGAATCATATTGTACATGTAATATGGTAAACCACTTTGAGATTGTAAGCATTGCAATTGATTTATTTATTTTAATTAAGTATTCAAATCAAATGCTTTCCTGTTTTGTGTATAGTTATGAGTGTAGTGATTTCCCCAAGCTAGTAAGAACACTCTGATAAATGAACTAGTGGCAGAAAGCAAAGTACTTGATTGAACATGCTGGAATAGATGGTTTGGTTGTACCATAGTACAGTTAGAAGAGTTATAGCCTAATTCAATCAAGCTGTCTTAATGACTAAGTAAGCTTTAGAATAAATATTTGTTCACTTTATATGGGGTTGAATATATCCGTATGTACAGTTACCATTAAAAGCTAATAAAGTCCAAACCACTGTTTTTGTTCTGCAGTGTAAGTGCACTCTCTTTTAATTACAGCATGATTGATAAGCATTGTGCCTGAGCATAACCTGGCAGAGATAATAGCCAAATTGTGGACCAAACGTGCATGAGACACATCCAATGCAAAACCTTTCCAACCGTTCAAAGTCCACTTCAACCCAAACTGATCACTTCTAGATACCACGGTCGGTCGAGAGGTAAATTCATCTTACTTATTTGGTGCCTAACCTCAGATTTGCAATGCTGAGCACGATTGTGGCCGCCATTTGGCTCGAGATAATGCACTTGCAGTGCTTCATGCAAACACACTTAAAGGCCTTTTTGATAAAGAAACGTAAAAGTAATAGAAATGGCAAAGGAAAAAGCACCTACTACTGTAAAAGCAAGCTCTGTGCAGAGAGTAACTAAGACGGATTTATTTTTTTCTCTGTTACAGAAATCTATATAAATTTATTAAGAAGTAAGTACTTTGCATCTCTGAAATTGTAACTGCCAAAAGGGGGTTTGTTAAACTGAAGAAACATGAGGTTGGAAATAAGTGGACAATTTTTTGTTCTGCAAATTATGCAGTTTGTTAGATAAATGAACAGATGTGGGGCGCTGTGGTCCAATGTGGTCGCTGTGGTCCAATACGGTGTTAGACTCATGTGCTGTGGTACATGGGTTTAAACCCAAATGGAGAACATGGTGCTTGTGTTCTTGGGCAAGACACTTTACTACAAATGCCTCTCTCTACCCAGGAGTATAAATGGGTACCTGTGAAGGTAGAGACCAAATTGCGATGATTTCGAGCTGCTGCCACATCATTATTATGATTACAAGATAAAGGTTTATGGTAGTTCCATGTGACAGATCTCTTTTGTGAGTTTGTGAGGTTCTGAAAAGAACTGGGAGAAAACACAACGTTTTGGACAGTATGCTGTATGCAGTATACATGGTGCTACTGTAAACCCTTGTCTTATTGCCGTCTACAATCATTGAAATGTTGCCTACTGTCGTGCCTGCTTTATTTAACTGCTACACATTTAACTATTGTTATTATTTGTAAATTCTTTAATTAGTGTTGTTTGTCTTGTTTTGCTTGTATTGTTGGGCACATCCACCACAAGCTTTGGCTTTTTGGGATGACGTCTCCACAGAGTGGAAATAAATGGTTTATTGAATTGAATTGAATTGAATCTATATCGGTTGATTGTAAAGCGCCAGGGAGCATTTTTTAAATGCGCTATAGAAATTGCCATTATTATTTTTCCATTATTATTATTAGCTTGGTTTGACAATAAATTATTCACTTTTGTTTAAAACATCCAGCATACAGTTTATTTCTTCAGTTTTATCGGTGATAAGTACATGTAAGGCATTTCTACAATCATTAAAGCAATGCCATTAACTACGAACAATTACTAAACACACCTCTTTACTAAAGAAAACATCAAAATGTATGTGGCGGCATGTGGGAGCTCAGATTTACTTGAAACACTACTTACTTTCTGGACCATACAAGTTCATACACAAACTGCAATAAATCCTTGTCTTTTCTGACATCCTACTTACCTTCTGGCCAACAGAAGTGAGCAGGTAGCCCATGCAGTCACATAGACTTGACACTGGTCCTTTCTGCTCTTTGTCATATAACACCTATTAAAATAAACAGGATTCTTTCAACTCCCATTCCAGAAAATTGGAACACCTCTAATGTATCAGTGGTAATAACCCTGCTCGCCCACGTTAGTCACTTTCATAAATTTGAAGTGCATGAGCAATTTGACAAATTACATCTGCACTTTTGGTTGAAGGAGCGTGTAGTGTGCACATATGACAAGTGCGCAAACATGTTGCCATCACATTAATGTGTTGCTATTATGATTATCAGATTAGTATTTAACAAAAACATGGGTTTAAAGTAAAACAAAGGACTGTTGGAATGGGAGTGTTTGTTTCCGATTTAAAAAAATAGTCATTAAGTCTTTGCCTATCTTTACTGTAATCAGAACAACCCTTATGAATGTTAAAATTTGGAGAAATTATGACCATTAACACTTGCGTTTGTGCATTTAATAGAGCGATTCAAATCCAATTCTTTATCAACTTATTAATATCTGATGCAAATGTTGTTGAAAATTTTCATCTTGGCTTTTATTTGGTACGAAACTTAAATATCAATTTGCACAATGTGAGGGGGTATCCCATGTCACATCGCATGTTATATATTTTTTGTGAGTAGTTCTGTTGTTTTTTTCTGTTGTTTTTCTGTTTTTCCATTACCTTGATCTTGTTCTTGGTGAGCGGCTGACCTGGCTCTGGAACAACCTCAATCACGTCGTAGATAAAAACCTGCAAACAGATTACAGATGAAGTGAAATCAGTGTTCCCATCAGGAATTATTATCTGGGGGCGACCCCTACTACTAAAGGTTTACGCCGGCCTGTCAGAGTTATGTTAAAGTCAAAATTATGCACAATTGAAATACTAACATGGCTTCTTGTATACAAGAAAGGCTACTTTTTGCAGTATTATAATTTCAAGTAGTAACGATTTGTTTAATAACACCTCACTCATAGATTCTACAAAGTTTCAGAGATATTTGTAAGGTACTTCGTTTTTTTTATTTGAAACTTTTGAAAAATTCACATGCACTTTTCTAAACCTTCTCTTGATGTTTGCACCCAACTCTGCAGTGGGACAGTAAAATACACACAATGCACATGCCTCACACGCAAGTGTGCAGGTAGATGGGTTTCTTCAGTTACTTTGTTGCAGGTCATTTGTTGCCATGTAAGTATTACTTTTCTATACAGGGGAGCACAAATTGGGCCAACGATGTTAACAATTGAATTTTTCCTTGTGATGTGTTCGTAGATACCCTGACAAATTTGCTCTGCACAGAAATTCCCAGGAAGTACAAACCGGCCTTAATCAATTACAAAACAGTGAAAACTGTGGGAGGTGTTCTTATCCAATCACGAGACAGTATTTGTCTCAATTGTTACCTTTCCTGTACACTGGACATCTTCACTGAAGACCCTCGTTGATGCGGCCGCTATGAAGCACTTCTTACCAGTCATGGATCCCTCACAGCTTAGATTGACCACCTTCAGACACGTCACATGCTCCAATTCCTCAAACTCAATCCTAGAAAATAAACAGACGCTGTATTATTAGTACTTCCTAAGGAGTATAGAGCAACTTTAATCACAGTCCAAGTACTTTTGATCGCATGCATGCTATCTAAAGGTACGTAGGATCATCTACTTTTTGTGCACTTTTCTTCTGAACGATTTCTTCCAGAAGATTTCAAAGTGCTAAAAAACAATGGTCTCACGTCCTCTTTTATGTTTTTTTAAATACACTTGTTTTGATTGTCATTTGATGATTTTTTTTTCTAATAAATCAATTCTGTTATATAATGTAATTTAATGTTTACTGTTTTTTATTGAAAATTTTGTCTAAATGTTGTGATGTTAATTTTTACCGTCAACTACCGCAATTCGGCCCGCGATGGTAGATTTTTTAATAAACCAAATTGAATGAATGAATGAATGAATGACACCATTTCAGCCGAAATAATACCACAGGGTATTTGGTACTATTTATTTATCATTTATTTATTTCTTCTTTATACTGGTTGGCCTATTCTGTCCTTTTATCAGAACTGATCTCCCATGGGTCCCAGTAGGAGTAATAATACAATAAAACATGATTTGAACATAAAAATTAATAAAATCAAATTCTAAGTACATGTATGTAGCCTATATTCACATTGCACAGTATGAAACAAACGCTATTTTAAAAACGGAGAGCATAAAAATTGCTTTAAATTGAACATTAAAACTTGTACCTTACAATTAGCCGAAAAATAAACATAAACATTAAAAGTCGTTTACATCTAGCAACTAGTGCCCAACAAAAGGCACATTTTTCAATCCCTCAGACATCATTATTGCATATTTGATGATCACAGGGTTCGGCCTCAACTTTTTTTTTCACTAGCCAGCCGGGCTACTGAAACAGACTCTTAACTGCCGGGCTAGTTTTAGTTTGAGTAATTTAGAAATTCGAAAGATGGACTAAGTCTAACAAGTCCAACCATTGTTAAAGGCACCATCCCTATCTTCAATTTAAACAAGGATTTTCCTGTTGAATCAGTAGGTCCATATCCCAGTGATTACCAATGCTCCTAGGTGCCTTAACAATGGTTGGCCTTGATGGACTTATGTGTAGTCCATCTTCCCAATTTCTAAATTACTAAACCTAAATATATCAAACCCATTGTCGTTAAAAACAAAAGTAAGCAACAAATATGTATTGATTAAAAAAAGAAACCATGCATTTTTTGTTTGTTTTTCTAGTCCTGCAATCTATTTTGTCAACTAACCTAGTGTTTGGAATGCCATCCCAGCTGAGAGGGGAGAAGAGCTGGATGGAGAAACGATCCTTCTGGGAAGCCACAAACCGCTCATCTACAAAACAAGAGTTCAGACAGTAAAACAGTTAGAGTAACCCAAACGTGCTTACGACTGATCACAAATGCGTCATAAGTCCAATCACAAGTCAATCACAAGTCACTCCACAAGTCTGGGGATGTACAATAACAAATGAATGCTTTGGTCACAGTTCATTTGAATAGCTTGTGACTTGGCTTCATTTTTGCTTAGCTCTAAGATATTTTTCATAAGTAGCTGCATGAATATATTTAGTTTGGGAAAAAAACTGGATTGAAAGGTTTGAATTACAAAAGTTGGGTTTGATCACACAATCCGAACAAATCAATGCCCGTCAACCACCAACACTCATGCAAATGTTTGAATAATAATAAAAATAATAGCATATTGGTCTGGTAGCTGACCTCGTTCAGCTTCCTCAAACTCTTGATCGTCATAGCCCAGTCTCCAGATCTTCATGAACGGCTCCAGACTACTTGTGACCACTGCATAAGTCTGAATACAACAAATCCATATATTAGCACAATTAACACAGCAAGAATTTCACAAAAATCAAAGAAAAAAAAGCTTTATTTTCAATGAAACTCTCTGATTTATGGCTGTCCGTTAATTTTTCGAAGAAACAGGAGGACCATTAAATTTCAAAATCTTTCAAAGTGGTGATTTTTGAAGGATTAAGGCGAGTTCTTAGATGTAGAACAAAGAAGCTTCCAATAGCTTTTTCCCACATGCTGCATCTCGTTGGAATTCCTTGCCTGGTGCTTGTTTCCCTCCAACCTATGATCTGTCCTGTTTCAAGAGGAATGTTAAATCCTATCTTCAGTTTTCCTGAGTGCCTACTCTGCTTCTTTCTTTTGTAGCCCTGTACCCGGAGTGGCTTCTAGCCTTGTTCAGGGTGAATATGCACTAGCAATACTGGCTGAGGAGTGTGTGTGTGTTCCCTACGGAGTATCCCAATTGTACGGTATTGCAGGGTATATTTACAATTACTGATAATTTCCCAAGTTTCAAGCGTGCTCCTACCTTGCTGTCGACATGGTAACAGATGAAGTGAGGAGTGCATCTTAGCGGGACCTTTCTTACTGGCCAGGGGGCATCATAGGACAGATGAGTGGGTAGGATGGAGATCCGTAGATCACCCTAAAGCAACATTTAATAACGACATCAACAAATGGCACTTTGTGCTGCAGGGGCCAATTTCAAAATTTGCTTAAGCACAAAAACCCCAGGATACCGGCTAACATTCCATGTGATTGTTATGCCTAGTAAACAACAACTAAATACCAGTCACAAGCAATATACATCGCATCTACACCACATGTACATTAGTTTGGCACTGCTACTTTCATGAACTTTCATGGCATATGTGTAGGTAACAAGTCAAGACTACATGCGAGTGACAGAAGTGGATTTTTCATTTCAATCGGATTACCACTAGTACAGCTTATTCTACTTTTTAACCATTGTGAATCAATAGATTTGAAACCACATTCAAAACATGTTTTCTTCTGTTCATAAGATGGAATTTGCGTCAGGGTGATTTAAATTCAACGTGAGTATACAGTTTTTATAGGTTGGTGAAGGGCAAAACCTAATATCAAATATTTTCTTCTGACCGATATCATTTCAGGCAAAAACGTTTCACATGAATTTTGGTACCAGTCCTATCCTCACTTTGAACAGGTTTTTCTCATTAAATCGGTAGGCTTGTTTTTGGGTAATTACTTATGTTCCTTCGTGCCTTTAAACAAACTCACCTGTTTGTTGAAGTAGAGGAAACCATGAGGGCAATTGACGTTGTGGAACGGGGCGAAGCAGGAGACAGAACCGTCGATGGGCATAGGATGGGCCCTCAAGGCACCGCGTGACTTGACAAAGATCCAATGTGGGTAAGGACCACAGACAAACACCTGTACGCAAAGGTGAAACAATCACAAGACATCGTCACGAAAAACAATGCACCCAACATAGACACACGAGATATCACTAAAAGACAATGAATGTGAGATCAAATTGAACATGCCAAAAACTTTACCTGCAAATGCAACTTTTAATTTTATTTTAACATGATGTATAAAGTCACCACACATTCTAAATTTGTAGCATAAATTCTGTGTAATTGTCAGGTTAAGGAATGGAGAATTCTTGATTTGGCCACAAGCCCCGTCCACCTTCATTTTTTAACAATTTCTCACAGTGTTCGTGATCAAATTTGACAGAGCAACTGTGGTCATGTGACCCAAAAGTTGTGGTGTGATAGGTCCATGCATGCTGTTTGATTGACACACAATAAGGGTCCATCCTGGTGCTTGGCAACCTTACAGCCATTACGGAGTATCAGTTGGAAATTTTTCAATAAGCACCCAAGTTGGAATCAAGTCAATCACAAGCCAAATCGGATGGGAAAAAAACAGAGGATACCTTAGACACAGCTAAGACTCCTAAACTTGCCCCCCAAAAGGAAAGAGAAGGCCCTTTTACACTATCCAAAATCTCCATGTTGGACCGATCGAATTGCAAGATTTCGGGAACCCCTCTCACACTAGCAAGAATCTAAGACGTATTCTACAAGGGTCTAGCCTTCTACCCTGGTCCGTCCAGGACTGAGAGGCTCTATCAGGGTAGAATATCCTAATTCCATGCCAGTGAGAATGGTAGGCCTTGTCAATCCATGTTCAATGGGACCCAGTTCCACTCCCGTTCAACAATGGGTAGATGAGACGATAGTCTGACGAGGCCTAATGACTACTCACCCCTGAATAAGAAGAGACATCTTCAAAGTATCTGAGCTGAGAGACGTAGCGAGCGGAGCTGGAGGCAGGGGCCTCCGCCATCTTGGCTTGCTTCTTGCCTTTCTTCTTTTCCTTGATGAGTATATCATGGCAGACCTAAAGACGCAGAATGTGAACAGATCATAAAGCAACAAGTACGGCTGTGACTGGTACCTGTATAACATTCCCAATCGAAAATGGCAGGTGTCTGGTTCAATGTTTTTGGTCATATTACAGAAAATCTTTATGGATTTGGTGACCACCACTCTGAAATAGAAGTACACATTTTAAACAATACCGTAAGTTGCAAACAAAAAATTCATTTTAAACAAAATTTTGAGTGCAAAGAATTCTGTTTTGAATCCAGTTGCTGACCATTTCAAATGATCTGATTGCTGTTGGAAGTATTCCATTTTGCACAGCCTAGTGCAATAGAGGGTTTATTTTTGCAGAAAATTGCACAATGAAAATCGAACATCATTGGATTTTAATTCAGTCAGAGGTAATTAACTTGCATACTGAAAAGGTTAAAAGTGACTCGTCTACACCTTTTGTTTAAGACTAAGTTAGGTTGAATATAGGTTGTAATCATTTTGTTATTGGAAGCGGTTATTGGTTTAAAAAAGCTGATACAAGTTACTACCTCTGGTTAGTCATTGAAGTTCTACATATCTCTTCCACCAAAGGTAGGCGTGTAAATACAATTGACAATACATTTCCACTAAATAAAACAGTATTCAAATAAATAACCACAATATAACTTGCCTTTCTGAATCGCAGTTTCAGGTGAGCTACGTCAGATGCGGAGTGAGACGCAAACGCCTCATATATCAGAAGGTCCTCCTCCACTATGGCCTGTTGAAAACAACCAGTAAAAACAGGATATACTATTTGCATTCTTGAGGTCAATACTACTTCCAAATAGCAGTGATTAGTACTCAAGAATTGGCAAAGTTGTCCAAGAATTATGCCAAAAACTAGCCACATTGGTTAAGAGCGGTGACAAAATCTCCTGTATTGTCTGGTATACATGTACATGCAGATTTGAATTTTATTTTTTGTCAATTAAAAAATTGAATTGCTCTTCTACAGACCTATTTTTCATGATGTCACAATTTATATGCCTTAATTGTTATGTCGAATTAAATGGCAGGGTAGTAAGCCAAACATAAGCTTACCATGAGGAACGGTCTACTGTTCTTGTGACCCAGGCCCACCAGTTTGACCTCTTTGACTGTTGGCAGCATGTCATGCTGCTGTCCCTGCTGGTCACTGCAAAAGAAGAACAAAAGTACCAACATCAAACTGCAGTGTCAACTCTATCACAAGTCCTAACAAGTCCATCACAAGTGTATGAATCATACACCACCCAGTCCTAAGTCACAATCTACCCAATCATTCCTGTTTCTGATGTCCCCTGTTGCTTGTGACTGGTAGGGGTGTGTGGTCTAGTGGTTAGGGTGCGTGACTCATGCTCAGAGGGTCAGGGGTTCGAATCCAGCTGCTGGCCATATGTTGTGTCCTTGGGCAAGCCACTTCACCCCCACTTGCCTCTCTCCACCCAGGAGTACAAATGGGTATCGACATTAGCTGGGGAGTAACCTGCGATGGACTAGCATCCCATGCAGGGGGGGGATAGAAATATTCTCAGTCGTTTCATGTCAAAGAAACCGGAGAGAAACGCCGGCCTGATGGGCTATATTGGCTCATGGCAAACTTTATTTTTTACTTTTACTTGTGACTGGACTTGCGATAGACTCAACTTCAACACTGACAACATTATCACTGCAACAAGAAGTCAACTGACAGACGGAGTGCAACTGCCTAAGGTTCAGTTCATACGCTAAAAAACAACAAGGCAAAGGGAATGTTGTGATTTCAACAACTGTAGTTTCATGACAATATTTCCCAAACACATTTTCTTTAAAAACAGTTTTGTGTCAAGTATGTTCTGGCCTTTATACTTAAGAAGACTTAATACAAAGACTGGTATACCAAGTTTAGGGCCTTAGGCCAAGATGCACAATTTTGTTCAATTGCTTCTCCCAATTTGATTGATCAACACCATATAGCTCAGTCACTGTTACCAAAACGGGGCTACTTCTTGTCCCAAATGTTTAGTACAAATAATGTGCCCATGGTCTTTGCATAATGAAGGACTCAAGAGAATTGAGGATAGTGCCCCCCAAAAAACGCCAGGCAGTTAGGGTTCAATTGTATTTCCATGATGAATTTATGTTAAGAGAAATGTTTAAGGCATTACATTTTGACTTGCCTTAATTTTTGTTTTCTTGCAAACAACAAAATACGAGATAACAACAGAGAAAAACCAAATTCAAAGTTGTGCTTACGTGGTTGCAGTTGTCTGGACACTGTCCACTAGGACTTTCTGGGCCATGGGGAAGTTTCTGACTAGAAACATGAGGTTGAAGTCTGGAAGGCTGTAGATCTAACAGACCAAGAGAAACGACAAATAGTTATCAAACCAACCTTGTTTTGTCAGAAGTAAAATGAAATCAGTTATTCTGAAAAATTTTCGAAAATGTTTGAAAGAACACCAGAGAATTACACTTCAATAAATATGGGAAGTAATGAGAAGTAATATATCTATGTCAATTAAGAAGGGCAAGAAATCATTTTTTTTTTAAGTACTTGAACAATCAATTTTCATTTTCTGGGAATTGAATGTTCCAAATTTCACACTTTAAAATAATTCAGTCCTATTTCTGTTGTTAATCAAAATGTAAATCAACTCAAAGGCCCATTTTCATGAAACTACTAAGAAGAAAATATTTCTCAGCTAAATTTTCACGCTCAGCAAAAACCATCCGAGAGCTACAACAACATGCCAGGAGATTTTCAGCTGGTAACCTGGGCCCCAATTTCTTGGCTCTGCTTAATCCCTGCTTACTTACTGTAGCAGGAAATTCCATGCTTACGGTAAGCGTATTTCACATGTTAGCGAGGAATCTTGGCTTCAGCGCATGCGTACATCCCGTAGCTAAGGATTCTGTGCTTACAGGGTTAGCACAGACTTTTTCTGCTCACACTGTTAGCACAAAATGGTGATCGTAAGCGCGGAATTCTGTGGTAAGCAGGGCCATGAAATTGGGTCCTGATTCTTACTTTTAAGTAAATGATTTCTCTGCTTATAAATGTTTCTGCTTAGCAAAACACAATGAATTCTGATCCAAATGCTTGATTCTTTCACAATCTGCTTCTTCACCCAGTAAAATACTCACTTCTGATACCAATAAATGCATTCCCAATGCGCATTAATAAGCAAAGAAAATTCCACTGCTTACAGAAAAAAAACACCATTATATCAACCACTACACCGCAAGTCTAAAGAAATGGTGAGATATGATACTATTTAAAATGAATACTCTTCCTTTATTCAAGTACCCAGCACAACGTGTACACAGAAAATGCCACAGCTCCAAAGGAGTGTATTTCTGATACATTATCCGTAAAAAAAGGACATACCTCCAGCAGACCGTTCTCTCTGCAGACAACTGACCAGAATGTTGGGCCATCGTTGCAGGTTTCAGGGATCGTCGGTTGGGTGCTGAGTCCTTCTGTCTCTGCCTCAGGGCTGAATCAAACAAACAGTCAAGACAATGATCTCTTAACCCATAAACATCTGTACTACATTGTATTACATTGTATTACATTGTATTGTATAACATTGTATTAATTGCCTGATGAATCCACAAAACCATTCAGTGCTCAGACAGTTGAGGGGTACAGGGAGCAACAGGTTAGGCAATTAGAGGCAGTAAAGAGTTCTAAACTAAAACTTTATGGCCTATTAAAACAAAAGTTTAATTTTTTAAGGTAAAACCTTAAAGGTGCTTCAAAATATTGCCTACCTGAGGTTGGGTTCTGGTTTGACGGTTGGACTGGGAGCAACTTTAGGTTCAGAAGATCCATACAGTAATTCATCCTCATCATCTGCACTGCTGTAATAGGAGTATCAATATCCACATTAAAAATGAAAATATAAAGATTAAATAAACCCAAAAATGGTAACAGACACGTTGCATGAACACTCCATGATGGCACTCAGTCACTCCTTGCGAGAACTTTCTCCATTGGTTCGTAAGTACATGGTGCTATTTACGCACCTCTTATTTTATTTTCAAAATAAAGCGCAAAGGGAAACTGAATAGGTGCATTATAATACTTTAAAGTTGAACAAACAGATTGTCTGGAGTGGGGTTTGAACCTGAGACCTCTGGATTGCCGTTCCGTTGCTCTATGAACTTTTCTGTTGAGTACAATTCCTACAGCTGAAGCTAGGATTACAAAGAAATCATACTTATCCACGAAACAGTCATCAACGTTTTATAAAAGAAAGCTAATTTTGGTCTTCTAGTATGCCTAGTCAGGTACCTGGTATCCATTGCCATTGCTTCAGCCTGTGAAGTGCTCAGGGTACGAGGCTTCCTCTCCACAGTCGGTTGTTCAATGGTATTTTGTTTCTTGCTTGTTGTAGTAAACATGCCACTGTTGTCTTTGTAAGTGCACAGTGTTAGGATACGACTTTTCTGTAATAAAAAAATGACAAATAGTAATCACTGAAAAATCTGTCCATAAAAGTCATCCATTAATCTAAAATACTACAGTATATTGTAGACATGTTGGGAATTACAATGTGGGAAAACGCACCACAACACCTTTTTTTTGTGAGGGGGGAGGGGGGAGGAGGGGGGAAGGCGGGGTGTGCTCTGCCTAGAAGTGTCTGCATTTTGACAATAAAACAGTCCAAATACAATATCAGCTCCCTGGGGAGTATACAGCTCGAGGCACAAGGCAGCTAAAATCAGTCACAATAACCATCTCTGCCCTCACAGGTACCCATTTACTCCTGGGTGGAGAGAAGCAATTCGTGACAAAGTGCCTTGCCCAAGGACACACGCACCAAAACCCCAGGCTGGACTGGAACCCACAACCTGCAGAAGTACCTGCAGACCATGGGCTCAATGCTCCAGACCACGAGGCCACAGCACTCCACTTTCTTTAACAACTTAAGAAACAGCACATTGATCGTACTGACCTGTGGAAGTTGGGGTTTGGTCAGACTGAGACGATGTCCTGAGCCGTACTGGTCAGCCTTGAGGGTCAGCAGCATGACGTCACCCCTCTCTGTTATGACTAGTAGGTATGGGTCACTTAGGGAACACAGGGTGATGTCAGACTCCAGGTCCAGGGGGATATGCTGCAGTTGGTTCACTGGGGGAAAAAAGTATGTAAACAAAAAATGAGTATGTAAGTCGGGCGCGATTGGTGGACGTGCATTCTAACTTGAACGCGTAGAAACATGTAGGAATTCTCAGACTTTACTCTCTTTTACAAAACAATCCCTCCACAGCAGACAATCAGAAATAATAGGTTATTAACCGGTGATGGCACGATTGACCGATGGCGCAGCAGGATTGACCAATAGCACAGTTCACTCGAACGACAGCGCAGATCCATCGATCGATCCCAACATTCATGTTTATTACACCTCATACATATTGATGAGCCAAAGGCAAACCTATCATTGGTTGGTGTTCCTGTAAGTAAGGTTAGTAAGTTTAGCTGTCCTGCACTCACAATACACATACAATCACCCAATCAGTCAGTGGGACCAGGGAAGTAGTATCTCAAAATAAGATCCTAGACTCCCAACTATGCAATAGTAGTGACTGCAAGAGAGGTTGCTGGATGAACCATACTAAAACCTTCTTAGCAGACTAATCATTATAGCATTCTGTGGGAAGGATTCCTCACAAAATTTAGTTTTATCTGACAATAGATCTTTGAATGAGTGAACCACCAAATGGAATTGTGATTTACTTGTAAACAGTCTTGTAGACTTGTGACGGACTCACTTTCAACAATGCAATGATGTCATGAATGTGTAAATGATTGTTACCTCCTTCCAGTAGTCTGACGCTGGACGGTGACACCTGGACAATGTATCTATTGTCACCCAGATTGCCAGCAAACACAGTGGGAGTCTGGGTACTAAACCCGCTGTGGTCCAGCTCTGTTATCTCTTTGCCTGTCTGTAAAACCTGGGAGAAAGACAAAGCGAAGAACAAAGAGTAAATACACGTAACTGATCAATTAGAATATGACTATTGGTCAGGTGGCCATGGTAAAAAATAATATAATGCATATTGAGAATGCTCACATATTCATCAGAATTTGTGCTCAAGGCACTACATCATTAGTACCCCTGCTCGTTAGGCCCATGAAACATTAAATAGACCTTCTCAGCTCCCTGGGGAGTATGGGCTCCAGCGCCAACAAAAGAGGGCGCCCTTTTACCTAGCAAAGACATCCCATGGGTGGGACACATACATTTTGCTGATTGACGCGCGCACCGTTCCTTGTGCATGACGCAGGTTCCTTGTGCAGGTACACCAGGGGATTTGCACTATGTACACCAGTGGCCACGCGCGCACGGCTGCAAAATATTGTAGTCAGGCAAAATGGCGTCGTTCGGTCACTCCCAACTGTACTTTCTTTGCCGGTTAGGGGGTACTTATGAACGGAGCGGATACAGCTTGACTCATCACTTTATGGTGTCTACTCACCATGCTGGAGTCTTCCCTACTCAGGATCAGGAAGGCATGGCTGTTGGCCAGGTCCTCCGCCATCTTGTCTCCAGATGTCTTCTCTCCGTCTCCATCCTCCTGCTGACCGTCCTCCTCACCTTCCTCCTTCTCCTCCTTCTTGACCTCATCCCCGGTCTCATCCTTCGAGGTCTAGGTCAACAGGTCAACAGGTCAAAAGTCAAAAGGTCAAATGGCAAAAAGGCAACAAAATGACAAAAAAAACAATTACAAAATAACCTTGATGGGTCAAGATCATTTTGGTTTCTTACTCAGATGGTTTTGAACCGGAAAATCAAATGTTTTTATTGAAATTGGATACATTACTTAGCTGGGGCAGTGACCTCTTGTCCTGGTCTTTGCCTTAACCCTCCTAGTCTTAACCTTCAAGTATTGCAAACCACTTTGGCCCACAGAGTTAGTACCCACACATAAAGCTCTGAGTATTGACTTCCCACGAGGAGGGTTATTACTGTCGTAAGGTTAGTTTCTACTTCATGATAATGCAAAGTTAAGTAAATATCACGTTTAGTCAAATTTGCAGTAAAATCAGTAGAGTTGAAATGTTGACTTTGCAAATTCAAGGCTCAAATAATGACTGTCAATTTAGCACTTGCAGTTGCTTTCAAACCGATTGAACTTGAGTTTAAAACTTTTTATCCAAGGATTTTTTTTTCTGTAATAATCCACCTACCTCTGCCTGTTTGTGAATGACTGTCCACATATCCAGACAGCCGGGTAGCTCAAATGTAGTCACAACCTGTGGTCTGATGGTCCTCTGTCATTATTCACAAAACAACATTCAAAAATAGGTCTGAGATGTAAGGTCATTATAGTGTGTTTACTGTGTTGCATCATGGGATCCAATTGAGACTGTAATGCAATGTTCCCCATGGCATCCAGCACAGTTGCAATTCTGTAATGTGAGTGTTGATTTCTTGTTAGCTCAAATGGTATATGTAGATTGTTGAATCAGGAAGTATGCGTCTGAAGCATGGAATCAGCTCCTGGAAAAACATCAACATTTACTAAAACACAAGCAACAGTCGAATGCCCCATTTGGTCTATGGCTAGTCCATACCTGCAGCACTGAGAGAGCTCCGTTCTTGCCATAGCCTGAGCAGGTCACCAACTCTAGATCAGGGTCCAAACTGTTCTGAAACTGCAACAAAACACACACAGCTCCTGGGTAAAATGGCATATTAGATGCAACTAAGACTGCAACTGGGAAATCACAAAAATGAAACTCCAAGTGGTTTGAGACTATCTACAATCGTATACAACAAAACACACACAGCTCCTGGGTAAAATGGCATATTAGATGCAACTAAGACTGCAACTGGGAAATCACAAAAATGAAACTCCAAGTGGTTTGAGATTATCTGCAATCGTATACATGCAGTTTTAAAAAGACGGTCAGAGCATACTGACCGTAACATCGAGTTTATACCTCTGGTTCTTTTCAGAACCATTCTCTTAGTTGAGAAATTATTCGCACATGGTGTTTCCGCAACCCTTTATTCATTAGTATCTCCACCATGCAAAGCCTCAAATCTTACTTAATTTTAAAAAGAAGGTCATCCAGTGAATTAAGGGTCCAAAGTGTGCCATTTTTCCTGTCCCTGTTAATAGTACTTTGCCATGTGCCATTCAAGTATCACTAAAAATGACTTTAAAAAAAGTGTTTGATTTGTTTGAATGACTGCATTAAGAATTATTTTTTTAAAAATAGGACCCCACATTTATAGCCTGGCCCAACAAGGAAATCAGTCGAGAGGAAAAATGGTTGATGGACATACAACTTTTTGCAGTTCAGGCTAAAACTATACTACATTTCAGAAAAAGAACTTACATACAGTGTCTTAGATTGAGGGGTTTACAGCAGGTAAAAATTGTTGGTTTTTTTCTCGCTTACCTCATCTGACAGGAATGCAGGTTCGCCCATTGTCATGTTGCCACACGGTCCAATGTTGATCACACTGTCACATACCTTAGAAAAATAAAAATAATTTTTAAATGGAATTAATTTAACATGATTAGCTTTTATGTAGGTAGCAGCAGAATTGCCAGACATGTGACTCACACTTTTTTCTTCTAAATAGTCAGTATCAGTTTTAAATCTAGGTTTTTTAAAGTCTCAGAACTATTTTTTTAGTATTTAAAGATCCATACTCCATGCTCTTAAAAAAATAGACAATTTTCTTTCTCCTAATGACTTTTCAATTTGCATGTTTTGTTTCAACGGAAGAACCACTTGATTCCAATTTTGGGCGTCTGCAACCCTCTCCAAAAGGGCTTTCATTTTGTGCACACCTGACCCGCCCTGTGAGAGCCAAGTTATTGTCTTGAAACCAATCATTTGATTTTGTGAAGATATATTTCAACAACTAATAGTCGGGGAAATTTTTTTGTTCAATGTCTCATATAGAAGTGAATAACTTTTCTATTACTAGGAAAACAGCAAATAAAAATACAAATCTACTTTTCAAGGTGAAACTCAAAAATAGTACGAGAACACATCTTTGATTACTGACTTAGTAAGGATTTTACTATTTGTATATCCATTTCTTATTCAGCAATGTGCAACGAGACATGGATTTTTTTTATTAATAAATAAACAATCATTGAATTGAACTCAATTGAATTGAATTCTTTCCTCCGTGCACCTAAAGAAGAAGTATAGCTATTTTTGATCTCACTTATTCCAACAGTATATTTTGAAAACGATACCTCATGTCAAGAGGATATGACCTTTGACTTATGACCTTTGACTGACCTCAAATGAATATGTAATGACATTGGAGCTGGTACTCTGCATGGTTTCCTTGCCGTACACCTCCAGCTCCTCAGGATCTTCCACCAACGCTACGTCACTCGCTGGAAAATCAAGGATGCAACGTTGACAAGTTTAAAAGAATGAAAATAAACAATTTGTTTACAAAGTTGCTGTTGTGCTGGTCTGTTGCCCTTGGACACCCAATCAACAGGGGCAAATTCTTTAAAGAGTATTGTATGGAAAACTGCTTTAAATGTTTTTATATTTTAAAGCAAAAACATCTTTGTGTTTTGCAATCTGTGAGATTTAGCCAAGATTGATTAGCATTTTGCGATCTGCATCAAGGGACATTGCTCATCGCTTATGCAGTTATATTGCATTTCTCTGCGTTACGGACAATCCAGAATACATCAGTGCAACACTAATCACAATGTACAGTGAGCCAAATCGCTTTGAGGTAATTTCACACCGAAAAAAAAGCAAAAAAAACCCCTACAATTTTGGCTCTTGATTCCACCGACTTAGCCTTGGTTCTTCGTGTTATCAGTTGAGACTTTCAGTTAAAAAAAGCATATCTAGAATATCATATTCACACATCCTTACCCATCCAATCACTAGCATCATCGCTGCGTATCTTCTTGGTTGGGGGACCATCCTATGGATAGAAGTGATTACAATTCTTACAACATTCTACATCAGAAAACTGCTCCCCCCCCCAAAAAAAAAAAAAATGTAGCATCCAAAACCACCCTGCCTATTACACACTGTAGCACTCAAATGGTCATATGGATTCATAAGTGAATAAACACAATGCAGGTGAACATAATTCCATTCTTTTCCAAATGTTGGCATGCACGATACCTCCCATGTTTCACCTCCTACAAACCCTTTGTGACTCCCACCTGGTATATCAAGTCTATGTTTGTTTACCTGAGGTTTTCACAAAATCTCTTAGGCTTACGTCCTAAAAAAGTTATGATATCAGCATCGTTTATTCTTCACTAATTGTTGGCAACACACAGTGGTACAGTGAAAATAGTCTTAGTCTCAGTGACATGAAGAGAAAAAGCATGAAGTTCCTGAACTCTCTAAATGAGAACAAAAGCCATTTTATATTCATAATAACAATTATATAAAATAAGGGGTAGTTATAATAACAATATCAAAGCACTTTCAAATTATTTGCGGGAAGTTTATTCAATCATTACCATGAGACCAGCTAAATTTATTAAAACAGCCACACACAATTGGAAAGAATAAAAAATCAACTCAATTATACCTCTTTTCTCTCTTCCTCTTTGTCCTTTTTTGGGATATCTAGAGGAAAAATTGCAGAAATGTTTTAAAATTTCACAAAATCCATCACAAACATTTTGCAACAAATTAATGACACTTGCAAATCATGTAATGTGATGTATGAATCTTGACAGTTTGAACTAGTTCTGTTTCCTTCTTTTGTTTGTCTGAATTTCAATTATTTCCATAACGTCAATAACTTTACCTGAACTGACGCCATCCGTTGCCTTCTCTGTGTATTTCAAGAGGAGCGAGTTACCCAGACGGGAACCCAGGAACAGGAAGCCTTCGTCCATGGCACAAATCTGAAAAACGGCATGACAAACAAGAGCTTAAAAACCAAAGCATCATCCCAACAACGGACACCGTGTACAAGTACCCCCTCGATGGTTACGAATGTAGAGTTGGGGGAGACCAACAGGAGAGACATTCCAATGCATTTCTCATGGGAAGGCGGCAAGGGTGTGTGCACATTAAGAACCAAATTGGTTGTGTGTACTTCAGCCATATGCATGCGAATCAGAACGCGCACGTGTCTCCCCTACTGGAGACAACACTGTGTTCGCAAAGCCCCATCTATTGGTCAAAGGGGGCAGTTTTACTTTCCAAGGATAATTTGAAATATTAATACAATTTCTGTTTTGCAGTCCATGAAGTTACAGAAAACGATAAAATGCACTTTCAAGAATCGTCATCAGAATGTCTTCAAACATCACCAGTGATAAAACCTCAGTTTAAAAGTTAAAAATATTCAACAAAGTCCTTTTGAAGGCCCGTCTTTTCAAAAAAGTGGATTTTATAAATCATATTGTTTGCCTAACCAGGGTTGTTAATAAAGATATTGTGTACTACAGTTGTTGACAGTTGTTGAAACAAATATTCTGTGTCATTTTCTTTGTTGTTCCAAACAGTCAGAATACACAATAAATTGTTTTTTTTTGGATGAAAGAGGTTTTAGGGTCATTGCATTAAAATGGTGCTATTCTTTGAATGGATTGAGCAATTTCAGTAATTTTTTCATCTAAAAGTAGCTTATGAAATTAGCTTTCCAGTCATTATTATTTTTGGTGCTACATATTTTTTTAAATATGAAATATAATTTTGGGGGTTTGGGTTCCGCTAATTTTTTACTCACCCTGTGTGTCATATGGGAAAAAATCCATGAGCCAAATAAACCCTGAAAATGTTCACAACAAAAAGCCAATAATTAAGAAGATACAATAACTTTCTTCCTTCCACATTTGTGAAGAGGCTACTTACAGAGCATGTGAGCACACTCGCTGCTGCCTTGTCAAAGTGAAACCCTCGTACACTCCGCATACAGTCAATCAACATTGTCAGTACATAGCTACAAAAACAATGATAATTGGGTAAACAGTCTTCAAATTAGTACTCCACCCAGACCAAACACATGGACAAATTCAAAAGCTGTGGACATTTATTTATTTGTCACATTTCTTTACCCAGGGTTTGCCCAATCAGTTAAAAACTGGTTTCCATTGGGACAATACAAACATTCAATATTATTAAATTAAGTTCAGAAAAGTAAACATCACAAAGAAAAAGTGCATTCAAAGTGAAACAGACTACGACCATTTAAATTTATAAATACTTACAAGTACCTTGGAAACATTGACACAAAAGAAAGCTACATACACAAGTTCATTGAATACATATTTAAGTATTAGGTACGACTTGCTGATTACAGGATGATCAAAAACCTGCAAAAACCCTTTTGGGAAAGAACACATGAACATACCTGATCCAAATTACCATGGCAACCAAGTTAGGCCATATATCAGCTCATTTCAAACCAGTGGATTAATAGCAGATATATTACTGACCAATGGCTTGACATAGTTCTGATTTGAATGTAGTTTATTTTACCTTAAACACTTTTGATGTAAAGAGTGATCATTCAAATAGTTCTTTTCCTTTAAGTCTTAAGGAATCTCTAGGGACTTACAGTTCTCCTCCCTTGAGCGACAGCACCAGTTTATCGTAAGATATGAAGGTGGCTTGAGCACAGTCTAAGCTGATGCATATGCCTTCTTGCGGCCCTGGTGGAAAAACAACAGCCCAGGGAATAGAACTGGTTATGAAAAGCAGTGAAGATGAAATACGGGTGCAGTGCTCGCAACTGCTGAGCGTACTATTCAACACTATCGTACTGGTTTGCACGCTTATAGCGCGAAGTACGCACAACTTGTTTTATTTCTAATGTGCACAAACTCATAGCGTTGTTGCTTGACATCAGGTCAGCCTTGTCTTGTTGAAAAAAAAAACACACAATTCTGGCATTTCATGTAATAAGTAGTTTTAGCAACAACAAAAAATAGTTAACTTTCTTTCACAATTTACAAAGACAAATCATTTAAATGGAATTTTTCATGGGAGAGGATGGATTGCAGCATGTGTCTCCATGTACAAATCACAAGTAAAATCTACAATTTCACAAAAACTGGAACTAAAAACTGACTTACGGAGAGGAAAGGCTGTACTCCGCTCAGTGATGGAGTTGAGAGACACGCCGTAGGGCGGGATACTCTGATTGAGGTACAGTAAGGAGTTGACTGCCAGGACTAACACACCACCTAACAAATTCAAAAAAATATGACCAGTTGATATAACAGCGGGGAAAAAAGACGAGAAAAAAAGGGAATCAATCCCAATGAACACAGTGGACCAGTTACTACAAGCAGTATAAATCACAGTTCTGGCAAAACTAAATCTGAAAATAAGCTAAAATTGTAAAACTTACCTTAAACGGAACTTCATAAAACATGTCAGCTTGAAATTTCCAAAACAACACCATTTCTTAAATCTATGCACTGAAAGTTGCAAACCCTGTGCTGTGGAATTTTTTCTCCTAATGAATTTTCAATTAGTATGTTTTAACGGAAAAACTTTATTCCGATTTTGGGTGTCTGCAACCCTCTGAATAAGGGATTTCATATTGTGCACAAATAAAACCACAGTGCAAGAATTATTGTCTGGCAGCTACTAATTAGAATTATGGGGAAAAAATTGTTTAATAAATAAACAGTGGTGGATGTTTTCGTTCCACATCTTACATGTACCTTTTATATTGCTAGGAAAATAGCAGTTGAAAACAATCTATTTTCCGAGGTGAAACTCTAAGATAGCACAGGCAACGCATCTTTAACCTTAATTTTGACAGATTCTTCGACAGCTAATATATTCTAGGGTAGATAATCTGCCTTACTGGAATAGTAAGGGAGTGTAGATAAGGATGCTCTGTCTCACACAAAAAATTCTTTATAACTGAAGTGATTAAAAATTAAAACTTACCAATTGGTTTAGGTACAGCGCAGACTTGTGCACAGTCATATGGCAGACCGTTTAAAGCCCAGATGACGGGGTGAACTCGCTGAGCCAGATTCAGTGACAGCGCCACCATGGCACATGTGTCGTGTCGCATGGCTATACGACTGCAATATCAAAATAAAAACACAGACCGATTAATTAGCAACGGCTTCTTTAAATTCAACCTTTCATTGTGCTCACAGACTGGCTGCCATTTACATGTACTTTATGTTCTTGGGCAAGACACTTTACTACAATTGCCTCTCTCCACCAAGGAGTATAAATAAGTACCTCAAGTTTGAGGGTAGAAGCCTGGTTGCCCTGATGTCAAGTTGCTGTGGAAAACCAGTCTCATGGCCTGATGAACAGGGTAACAATTATGATACGAGACTTTGGTATAATGGCCTATATAAGCAGCACATTTGATAACTTCTACCAGTTCACGCTTACCCAGGCCACGTTCGTAGCGGCTCATACAGCAGTAACAGTGTTGGCTCATAGTATCCATGCAGGAACTGTATATCCACCACGTTCAGTACGTGTTCCTCCAATTCTGACAGGTTGATGACATAGCTAGGCATCACTGCAGATCTAATGGGCAGAAAAATACCAAGTGCATTTAAGACCAGAGCCAAATGACATGGCGCTGCTAAGCACACAACCTCCATCTTTTTCATGGAGACAATAAGCAGTAAGCACAGTAAGCACTAACCTCCAAGGAACATTTGCCTAACTTAGTGGCATAACAATCAAATGAAATCCCATTACTCCCTGCACTGCCCCAAAGCACCCTGCCTGTTACTCCTTATACCGCTCCAACCTCCTTAGCATTCTATAGTTTTATCGATTCAGCAAGGAGTAAATACAGTGCAGTGCAATGTAATTAAATGTCTACGGGTTATACAGTTTGATTTTGCGTTTTTTTTCCCCAAGGACTTACTTCTTTGTTGCTTGGTCTGTATCCTCCACCAACCCTTCCCCACGGTTGAATGGTAAGACCACAAGCTTGGAGCCATAGACCAGCATGACAGCACAGCGATTCTCAGGGTCCACCCGGACATGGGGGGTGTGGATGTTACGATACAAGCCATCCTAATCAGACCAGAATCAATAACAAAATACAATACACAGGCTTAGCAGGCACTTCAAAATTCTGCAAAAAAAATGGTTTACAAACATTCATTGGTATCAATGGGTACAGGGCTCACATATCCACTGGACTGCAGGACAAAGAACAATTTGAATATCATTTGCTTTGTGTGGATTTTTTACATTTGAAGCAACACAATTGCATTAAACTCAAAGGGTGCATAACTTCCCTTTGAAATTTCAGCTCAGTTGATATCACACATTTTGTAGAAAACACAGAAAACATATGCATATTTCATTGGGTCTTGTAAGTGGCTTACATTGCTAATGCTGGCACACTATTTTGAGAACACTTTCAATGTTAGGTTTATCCAAAAAATTCAGAGCCTGTGATTCAAACGTGGCTCTTGAGTCCACTCATTTGATACAGTTGGGGCCCATGCACAGATATGTACAAACACGTGTTATGAATATAAATGTTGACTGGTCCCATGGACTCATCGATTACAAAGGGCAAGTTGGGAGAGACCGCCAGCGCAGGAGGGACATTGGAAGGTATTGCTGACAAGGCCTGATGCTCGCCCCAAGATGCTATTAGTTTGTGCACATTCACAATGAAATAAGTCATGCGTGATACTAGCAAGAATCAGCATGCACACGCGGTGTGTCATGTGCACAGTGTGCCCCTCCCACTGGGGCTCTGAAAAGCGGTCACGTAAGCGCCCTCTACTGTTTATGCAGAGAGTCTCTTAGCTGCAATAGTGCAAGATTTGTTACAACAACAACAAAAAACCACTTCTCAAAAGTAAGCCTAGCGACACATTTGGATCATAACACCCTTACCCTTAGTTCTTCGTCTTCAAAGTAATGCATGGACAAGGTCTTCAGATCATGAGTGCTGGGGTCATACTCCACAATCGAAAGCTACGAGGAAAGGAAAGTTACCGAGACATAATACAGGTTAAATTGCCTTCTGACTACTGGCCGATTATTTCCTCCAAATACTTGTGACAAAATGTCCCGTACCAGCGTGTGTTGAGTTCATAATAAGCTATACCTCCTGCAAAATATTACGTCAAACAAAGAAAATTTGCCCATTTTGACCAATGACTTTTAACATTCACAGCCAGAACTTTGTAATCATTGTCTACTCAGTCTGTCTCTGTCTCAGAGCTTCTGAGAGAAACAAATTTACAATCCTGCATGAGAGGGGCTCGAACCCATAACCTACTGCTTACTAGGTGCAGACACAATGCTTAAATTTCACATAGTCTCCAAGACGTAAACTTCCTTCACCAACGTTACTTTTCCACTGACCTTAGCATCTTTGAAGCTGAGGAGCATTGCATCTCGGCCGTTACCGGACAACGGCGCCGTCTGCAGTGACATCACATTGCCATGGAGAGAAAAGCTCATCAGCTGCTCGAGTTTATCCCGCTTGGGCTTGACAGTGATACCATCTGGTCAATTCCCAATCAATAATCAATCAATTCATTATCAATACATCAACCATAACAATGTTTTAGTGAGTCACTGAATTTTGTGACTCGACGCAAGCCAAGTCACAGCTTTTTTGGGGTTTCTGCAACCCCAGGAATTGTTTTTCTATTTTGACCACAAAACAAACCTCCTTACGAGCAGACATGTTCCTGGTCTGTACAATAATGATTGTGGGCGGGAACTAGCCTACCCCGCGAGAAGAGAATTATTGTCGGACCACAAGTAATTCAAACTTTGTCATAATAATTCAATAACTAAATGTGGACGGAATTTTTTCAGTTGATATCGCATTAAAAAGTGAAAAACTTTTATAATTATTGCTAGAAAAATAGCAATTTAGAAGAGAATTCTATTTTTTCAGGATGAAACTCACAACGAGCATGGGGAATGCATCTTTAATGAGGTCAAGTCCAGTCACTTTCTTGCAGGCAATTAGGCAATGCAAACCCACTTGATCTCATTAGGGCCATGAAAAAAACCTGACGTATCTTACCTATGTTTTTCTCCGCACCTTTAGCCGTTGTCTGTAATGAAACCCAAAAGAATGATACTTAAATGATCATAAAAGAGTTGTCTTCCTTATTTTTAAAGTCCTTTCATAAACATCACAAATGTTAGACATTTGAAGACATAGCCATATTAGACATAGACATTTGAATAAATGTGTGTGCTTGTAGAACATAATACATTAGATGGAGTGCAATTTCACCACAAATCGAAGACAACAGCACAACAAAAGCAGACAAAATGTCCTGTTTTACATTGGACAAGCCATCTTAGCTCATTGAGGATTTAACCCCAACCCTCCACAATCCTCCAAATGGACCAGGTACTTGTGGAGGATTTTGGAGGATTGAGGCTGGATGGCATAGATGGCGGTATTAAGGTGGCTGTCAATTTTGGAGAACGCATCGTTCAAGGTCTTAAGCTGCACCTTGTGTTGTTTATGTTTAGCCATGCATACATTGAGGCCCATATTACATGTATATTAGATAATCATTTGCACTGCTTCCGGATATCATTGGCACTGCATTAACGTTTAAAACAATGATTGTTGGAGGATTTTGAAAGATTAAGGCAGTGATCACCCGGCCACTGGACAAATTCAAGAAAAAATGGATAATTTGCAGGATTGAGGATGCATCTTAGCAGGCTTGGAGTTAGCTCACAACACATCTCAACTATGCAATCTTTGCAAATAAGACTTAAACGACAGACATATCCGCACCTCCACATCACTGAGAAGTCTGTAGACGGTCAGCTCAGAGGCCTGAGCAACAACAAGACTCCTTTCGCCTGCTGAAAAGAAATTACAGTACGCGCTGTGTTCCACGCCTGTGGGTGGCTGGATCTGCTTGTGAAAGGCATACATCTCGGCTCAGCAACCGAGACCAACAAGAAAGAGAGTCCAGCTCAACCAGTCCAAGAAAATCTGAAGAAAAGAATAACATTTCAAGATGTATAATATCGGGGATACTTGCTAGAATTTTCTGGGACAAAAAAAAAGAGAATTGAGGAACAAATACAGTATCTTGATATCACTAAAAAAATCTTAATTTCATTAATTAATTATTGCAAATAGTTGACTTACTTCTTGGTTTATACCAACTTGAAAAATTAATTTGAGTAATTCACTAATGCATATCAATCAAATTAGGTTTTTGCCCTTCACCGACGTTTATAAACACTGTATACTCAGTGTGTTACCTCCCGAGTGAAAGTTGGAAAAAATCACTCGGGTGGGACTCGAACCCACGACCTCCTGCTTTCTAGTGCAGATGTCTTACCACTCGACCACCGAGCTAACGGGTTCAGTTGGCCGGTTCGAATCTGATGTACATGGCAGCGGGTACCGCATAAACTATTATAAGATGGAATTATATCAATCAAATTAGGTTGATTTGATTGATATCACCCCGACGCAAAATTCCATCTTATAATAATGCATATCAATCATATCCACACTGGTTTCCAACCTGGTCCCTTCATGATTGGTTGCACTTTAAGTGGTCGGGAACCAGTTCATGTATGCCTTGGTTCCTGATCTCTCAAGTACCATTCAGAATGCACTTGTAAATAAGCGGGAACCATATCTTTTATCATAATTAATATTCACGCGTGCCACAATTTCGCACTCGATCTCGATGCTGAGAACCGGTTGTGCTTGGCGAGTCTAGCTGCATCCTCGTTCACAGATTCATTCTTGGGCCGTACTTAAATAATGATACTGTGGCAATGCAAATTCATATGCGTATTGGGGGAAATAAGAGACATAATAGTTTGGTGGAAAGATTCTGATAACAAAAACGTATAACGTGTTCCTCATCACTCAGCATGCGTACATGTATGGTGAGGGACTTTGTCTAGACTAAAAAAAAAACTTCCCAGACTAGTTCCCAGTCCTCCATTATTACAAAACTTTCCATTGGGCGACAGAAAAAAGCAATAATAACAGCTTTAATTGAATTCAAATTATCGTAGTTCAACGGGTACAGAAGCACAGATCATTATCTTTTCTCGTCATATGATTATTTCCCCTTTAACCAGTAATACTAGGGCCTACGTTTAATTTAACATAATTAATGCCGTGCAGTGTCTGTTATTGTTAGGCAGTGTATATTTTGCCGGAGACGGCAAACCTTTAGTAAACGTTAGTTTGCCGGATATGCACTGAACATGCGCAGTTACTGTTTTTTTGTACTTAAAAACATTTTCCGGTCAAAAGTTTTAGTCTGGCTCCATGCCAAAATTATCGTTGTTACCTCGTATTCACAAGATGGGATTCAGACCATTTTATAATTTTGGACTTTATTTCCCTTTTAAAAAAAATCCTCCAGAGCCACAAGACTGAAAAAGAAAATGTAATACTCTGCAAAAAATGTTTGAGACATGTTAAAATAATAAAAGAAGAATATTCTTATTTATTTGGGGATGAGAAAAAAAAAACGTAAAAATGTGGTGCGGTCGGAATCGAACGCGAGTCGTCCCGCTTACTGGAGCCTTTGTTTAACCATTACACCAAACATGCCAAACGTGCTACACAACTTTTGGTGGGAATTTAATACATCTTATAATTCAGCCCTATTTTAAAGAGTACAGCGCCCTCTGTTGATATGGATTGCCGCCGGCAAACCTTTAGTAATCGTTAGTTTGCCGTCATTACCTCCGGCAAAATATCCACTATCTTATTGTTAAGATTGCACAAAATTCATGAATTGCAAAATTAAGTAATATCCAAGCAATCTTAAAAAATGAGTGCTCATTCTTCAGATTGCGTGCTCATTCTTAAGAATGCCCGCTCGTTTTTAAGAATGCGCGCTCATTCTTAAGATTGCGCAAATTGCAAGAAAGGTTCATTTGTTCACTGACGTTGCCATTTTGCCAATACCATGATTCAGGATCGAAACCTCGGAAAAGTTTATTCAATTTTCAAAAGTAAAACTAATGAAAGCACGACAAACCAAAGTAGCCACAAACCACATCTAAAAGGCTTTATTACCCTTTATTAAACAAAGAAAGGAGTACATACCGCTAAACCGCCTACAAATTTTAACGCCGCTCAGCCACTTTTCACACACTGAAATTCGTCCTTTCTGCGGCGGACATGCATACAGCCCGCTACGACGCGAACATGTGGATAAAGCCCGCCCTCAAGAGACACACTTTTGCTCCATGACGCATTGGCAGCAGCAGATAGGCATGATTCAGAAGTCAAGTTATTCATGAGAACGTAACAATGACGTCTAATACTCAAACCATTGTTATTACTTATTTAGTTATTTTATTTATTTATTCCATTATTTACCCAGGGTATGCCCAAACAGTTTAAAACTGGTTTCCACTGGGGCCCTGCATACAATAAATAATGACAACAAACATGTATGATTATACAATACATTACAAATACAATAAAATTCAATACAATGAGAAAAAACATTATTTGATTAATGCATAGTTGTTAAGCAAATATTATATATACAATATATTCAAAAACTATTATAACTACATGTACATGTACAGTGTGAATGCTTTACTATAAAGTGGATGGTTGACACACACAAAAAATGGATCTGTCTTGTAATAACATCAAGAAAAAAAATATTGCTGTAACTATATTCGCTGATTACGAGAGGGGCGAAAACCCCGCGAAAAACCCTTTTGGGAGAAAACACGGGGAAATTCCCATCCGGCTCCTTATTATCTTCTTATTATCTTCTTAGTCAACATGTATGCCTACATTATTAATTTTAAAGAATGGATCTCGTCAACCAGCCTAGTGGATAGTGTAGCCTAGTGCAGAGTGAGATGAATTTGAAATGTATTATGGATCTCAAGATCTCTGGTTCAAAATCCACTCAATCATGCCCATTTTCCAGTCATCAACTAATTTTGTTCTCAAAGTTTATCGGTGGGAGAATTTTAGTGAAAAGTATCTAAAAGTGTCTTCCACACAGTGTGATAAATATTCATGTCGCGGAGAGTGCGTGATACAATTGATTGAAATGTGAAGGGATTGGCGATGTCTGCGGCAGACTAAAACAAAAGTGCCGCCCGCACGTCGACGTCGTACGCGACGGTCGCTGGACGTCGGTCGAAATGTAGCAGTCGGACAGCCTATATTAAGTCGGTTATGATTCAGCTGGGCGACGTCCCGTATTTTGGTTGGAGACAATATACACCAGTGGCGTAGCCGCCGGGGCCGGGGGGGGGGGGGGGTCTTGGGTGCCCCCCACAAAATTAAGAGTGCCCCCAGACGTGTGCGCGTGCCCCCCCCCCCCCCCAACAATCCGAAATTTGCCGCTTGCCGAAGATGTGTCTTTTTAAAGTATTTTTTGAGATGATTATTGTTGACTTATAATTATAGTCAAATTGATAAGTGGATAAATAGAAAGAGCAAAAAGAGCGCCCTATAGCGTCAAAATAGGAAGGAAAAACCTCCCCCGCTTATCAAATTTTCAGTACTTGCGGTGACCGGTGGCCTGGAAATGGGGGGGGGGGGGAGTTGGGTCCGCCCTGGTGCCCCCTCATAATAATAATTATACTGGTTCCCCGTGCCCCCCCCCCCCCAAGTGCAACAAATCCTGGCTACGTCACTGCGTCCGAGGCCGTTTCCGAAGTATCCATGCAACCAACGTCGGTTGTGAGCGGTAACCAGCCTACCCTGCGAGAACGGAAGTTGTCTGGCAGCCAATCATGGGCGTCGCCAGGATTTTTTCTAGAGGGGGGCAAAACATATTTTTCCCAAAAGATCTTGTATTTCTCAACATATTCTCGATTTATAAGTTTCAGAGGGGGCGGGGACATTTTGCCTCTTTCTCTTTTCTTTTTTTTCTTTTTTGTTCTTCCTTTTTTTTTTTGCTTGCCCCCCCCCCCCCTTGCCCCCCTCGCGACGCCTATGCAGCCAATAAGTCGAAATTATAAAACATATGGGCCGATTTTTTTCGGTCGATGTCTCATTCAAAAGTGCATAAGTTTTGGATTGCTAGAAAAATTGAATTTAGAAAAGGAATCTCTCTGACCACGCAATGTAGTTGCTTGCATAGGACTTGGTATTTAAATAATAATATACAACAATAAATATTAGAGTTAAAGATTACATGAATGTTTCCCAAGAAAATTCTGCCATGAAACCTTGTCGCCCCCCCCCCCCAGTCGCGCCCCCCCCCCCCCCCCCCCACTGAGATTTTGAGTTTCTAAAAATATTATCATTGATCTATATGACGCCCCCCATGAAATGTTCCAGCCCCCCAGCGCCCCCCCCCCCCCGAAAAATTCCTGGCTACGCCACTGGCCCCGGTTGACCTTGCACACCATGGCTCGAACTATAGTGTGATCCGGTACACTCGCTGGCCCCGTCCAGCTGTTGCTTCCCCGTCACTGTAGCGGTCCGCTCCCGCTTCGGTCCGGCCGTCTCTGCGAAGCGATAGCTCGTACCGTGCCCACTCGGTTCAGCTAGAATCTTTGGCATACTTGGTTCCCCCAGTTAGTGTTGTGAGACTCCGACACCGGTGTTGAAACCAAGGAAAAGCCTGACGTTGGAGAATTCCCCACGAAGTTAAATAAACCAGTAAAGTCACTGTGTGAAAGCTCTGTTTCCCGCCAAATTCGTTATCATAGATAATAATGTTGATTCTAATATAAAGTTAATGAACTAATAGGGAATGCAACAATAATGTTCTCCGAAGTCACCGTGTTAAAATTAGAAAAAGTTTTAACTATGGAAGGTTGTGAAATTATTGCAGTCATATTTATTTTATCGTCAATGTAAAATTGTGTCTTATTTCATTTTGTTCCCGGGTATTTTCTTGTTGTTTCTTTAGTGTGTGTATTTAATGCGAGTGTAGACCTATGTATGTCAACTAGGTTGTTTGTTTTTATGGTTTGCATTTTTCTCTCTGGGGAATGGGATTGCTTTTGTTTCTCGGTTTTGTTTTGTTTTGTTTGTAATAACCTTTTTAGCCCGTTTGTCATTCATTCCCGTTATTGAGTCTGGTTGTTTGTTTTGTTTGTTAGTTTGTTAGTTGGGTTGTAAGAGTATTTATTTAGTAGTTCGTTTTTATATTTGTGTATCTGTCTGGCTTGTCCAATGTTTCACTCTATGATTTTTTTTGCTGAGTCTTGTCTCATCTCCCCCCGTCTTGTCTCGTCTCATCATGTCTCGTCATGTCTCGTCTCGTATGATTTGTACAATTTACTTTTCAATAGTACTTTAATTTTTATGAATGGAATTTTAAATGTTTTATTGGCAGGGTTTGGATAAATGTCTGATGACAATTGTTTGTTTTTTTACTTTTACATATCCGTGGCAGCCTGTCCAACTTTTAGCTTTTATTTTATATTTTAAGATTAAAATAAAATAATTGAATCAAATAAATCAAATAAAGTTTCTTCAAGTCTTTATTACGCTGGAGATTGATCGCAGTACATATGAGAGGCAGCCCGAATAGGCGCGACCTAATCCGGCCAAATTACGATTTGTGTACTAGTTTATCTGTAATAATAAAGAATTTTGGCCCCTGCATTTGAGGGTCTGTATTTGTAGAAGTGAAGGGTCCATGTTCCTGAATTTGGATTTCTGAACAAAACATTTGAATGGAATCTATATTGATATGGAGTGGAAGGAATCTGTTTTTTTTTTTCAAAATGGCGATGGGGTGATCATCGTTGGAGGGAAAAATCACCTAAAAGTCATAGGTCAACCCCCCCCCCAAAAAAAAGATTTCCAAAAAGGTAAAGAGGATTAATTCAGCTTTCATTTGATGTATATTTTGATGACCTGTGAGGGTTCAGAGTATGTTCCCCGATTTGTTTAAATTGGGGTATTTATCTTTTGAAAATTGTCGGTTTGTGTATTATGAATATGATCAAGTGAAACTATTTATGCAGTATTTTGCCCATTTCCCTCAAAATTGCATATTGTAATATTGTACATTTTTATCAATTTGCTAGAATATGTGATACCTCAACAACAAGTATCTTTTAACGAAATTCATTCAGAATATTTATCAATTTTTAAAAATTTTTTTAGTTGTTGGGTTACTTGTTAGTGTCCCTGCCACTGTACGATGGTGTAGCCGTGCGTTATGCACAGGATTGTTTACTTCCGTTTTGACGGGGACTTTACTGAATAGAGTCTGGTAACTGTACATAGAAATTTCCTTGAATAAAAGTCGAATCGTTCATTCATGTGCACTTGTTATGCAAAGCGGGGGCAGTGGTTCAAGGATATCTATGTCGACTTGCAGAAAGTGTGCAGGAACGCGACTTGAATGCTTTTATGTGTTCACAATACAACGACGCTGTTTAGTTATTTCACTGTGTGACACAGTGAGAAATGTTGGAATCATTATGGCGTCAGCGATCATCTTGCTGGGGAGCTCTTGCGTACGACTTTCTGTACTTTGGTACTGTTGTTTCCAGGACAATTGTGTGTACGGTAACCCGACGTACCCAGATTTTTAAAGACGAAATTGCCGACCTCAAACTTGTTAGTGCCATATTTGGCAACTATATGTGCGTTATTAGTTTAATTAAACAAATGAACAGGTTAATTAAACATAGTACCATTGAAGGTACCTAAAAGTAAACATAACAGCATATAAAAGACCGACAGACGAACATAAAATGTCTGGATAATTTTTTAGGGCGTTAGGCCGGCAAGTTAACACAAACTTGGTGTCAAATAGATCATGGGAGTTACTTTTCTTTGACTTTTCATACAACTTTACATAAACTTTAACTGTATGACCTGCAGTGGCATAGCCACGGGGGGGGGGGGGGGGGGGGCGTGGGGCGACAGCAGTGGCGTCACCAGACTTTTCAGTCTGGGGGGGGGCACAGGGGGGGGGGGCAAGGGGGGGGCACCAGCATTTGATGGGGGGGGGCACTTAGGTGGAAACGGAGGGGGTGCCCCCCTCCCCTTTGGAAAATTTTCGCATACGGAGGATGGGCTAGATGCAAAATGGTGCCACATTTGATGCTAAATTCGATCTGAAGATATCTCAAGAAATTGCTATTTTTGAGGTAATGATTTTAACAACGCGCAGAATTTTGCAGAGGATAGGGGGGCACCAGCATTTGATGGGGGACACTCGGGGGGCACTAGGTTTTCCAGGGGGGGGGGCCACGTGCCCCCCTGGCCCCCCCCCCC